CTCAGGAACATCTTCACGGTCTCCTTCTTTGTTGGAAAGCCTTCTGGAATGTATTCGTCACCAGAGCTACCTCTCAAGGCAAGATGGACCACTGCAGCAGAATATTTGTTGAACAATGGATCTGGCTCACCCACCACAATGGTGATGTTGCTCTCTATATAACAGGCGCAGTGCATGACAAGTTCCAAAAACGTAGATCCATAGCTGATGACATTGGAGGTGCAGAACCTTCAGGTGCATATGCTAATATGCTGGATACAGTATGTCAAAAAAAAACACACACCTTTCATGGATGTGATATGATTAGACATAGACACAGACGACATAGACATACACCTAGATAATGAACACATATGACATGATCAGACATGGGCAATATTATAATATTGTTTGATATGTAACGATAATGAAATGGTGTTGTATGGACCTGGGCATGGACATGTTTTGGAAAAAGATATGGACTCTCATGACGGCATCATTGTCCATCCATGACTCACAAATGGACAAAATTCAGTTCTCAATTTGGAAAACCTGTTAATATAATGAACTCAATCCTATTTAACTGAACTGTTTCTTGCGCATGCGAACAAGCCACAAGGAGTTTATACCCAACCCTCGCCATATGGATTCAACGCAGTGATTGCTCTCATGCCTGAACAGCACAATTGAAACTCAACAAAGTTTAATACTCAACAAAGGCACATCACAAGTCCTTTGCATTGTATACCATGTGCCGTTCACTGACCAATTAATTCATTCTGAACATCAAGATGAGCAACATATTGCACAAGTGGTGCAGAAAGAGAGAGTTGTGCGGTAGCTTTGTTGCGCACCATTTGGCAAGCTTCAAATTAGCTCGAGCACCATCAGACACCAGCGATAAAATAAATATATCAAATCCTTTGGACCATCCTTAGCAAAACAATCAAACAACTTATCAACATCTTCCAGTGAAAAGAGCCTAAGTGCATACCGCTGCATACCCCAACATAGATGGTATTGCGTTCCAAGTACTGTAGGTGAAAAAGCACATGGACTGCATCACAAAAAGCTCCCAGGAGACTGACAAGCACCACTCTTTGATTGCTAACCAAGGAAATGAATGTCATCAATAGCCGAAAACACTCAATAACCAAGGTAACTATTTATAACCTTTGGCCTTATAGCTTAGGCTTAAACCCTACATATTCATATAAGACAGCCTGGTATCCTTGTATCCATGTTTGCCCTGTCATGCCAAAGCATCCGAAAGGATGAATAGGTTGCTTTGACACAATTCCATGCCACAGCGCTCCAGCATGAGTCCCCCGCAAAGCGGCTGGTGGAATTGCAAATGGAGCAAACCTGGAATGACTCATGACTCATCTCATCTCATCTCATCGCATATCATCAACCCATACTTTATCATCTCCACAGTATATGTTATATAGTATATAATATAGTATAATATCGAATCATATCACATCACATCATCATTCATGTTTATCTCAGACTCATATATCGTCTCGTATCTCAATCTCATGGTCTCATAGTTAGTCATCTCATCACTCACATTGTCTTTAATTTACTAAATACAATAATCCTAATAGGTCAGGGTTTGATAGATACAGTAATATAATTTAAGTAATATATTAATATATTTAAATATATTTACTTACTAGATATATTAGTATAAAGTCTATAGTCAGTCACAGAGTCAAACCATCATATCGAATCATATCATTGATCATTGAAATTATCATGCCCGTTTTCAGTGCCAAGCTCGCAGTTGTATGTGGAAGTGAAAGTCAAAGGTCACAGTCAAAAGTAAAGTCAGAGTGTTCCGTCATTCAATTCAGAGATAGTATTGAAGAGGGAGAGAGAGGCAGCAAGAGTCACGAATACCAGTTTGAGTTGTCATGTAGTCACAAACAGTACACCACACTGACAGGTTGTGTGAATGGCGGAAGCTGTCGAGTAGCTTCGCTGGTTGCTGCCCTGTGGTTGTGATCAATGTTGAACGCTGCACCTCAGGCAAACATCTAAATCTAAATAAAGTCTAAAAATAACTCAAACAACTGCCTTGAGTGACTGCCTGAATGACTCTAGCTGTTTCTACTGCCTAGTCAGTCAGTCCAATCCAGAAGAAACATGTTTGACTCGTTGACTCATTGTTCTAAGTCTGTCTCTATTTCCGACCCATTGTCACATGGTCTAGTTGGTTTTTACTACATAGAAACTTCTCTCTATTTCTTTCTCTCTCTCTCTCTCTCTCTCTCTCCCTCATGTCTCCTTTTGTTCAATCCAAGTGGCCAGCACTGAGAAGATCGCTTCAGTACTGAAGTCACGAAACCGAACCCGTTGACGCTGGCTAGTCTTGTCAAACTCGAGCATCAATTTCCCAACCCGCATAACTTCCCCACCGGGCTCCTTAGATAAGCAATCAGTGCTTTGGAAACGGAATCCAACAAGAACGGACTGTTTCACTACCTTTCTCATTAAACCACATGAAATCTCTCGTTGCACACTGCTTTGCACAGTAGGAATGTTGATCCTGACCCTGACAACGATTAAACAATGACTCTATTAGACTAAGCCTCAGAGGATGCCAAGATGGAGCGGCAAAATGCTGTTTGACACCGCATGAAAAAACATGCCGTAGCCAGCTGCACCTCAGCCATGTAACCAAAGCGTAGCAGTGATGTAGGTAGTTCGCAGTTGAAAGCTCCGTGTTCAAACCTATTCAAATCAATCGTGCCTCAAATAGACTATGACGCTGTCTATGGCTTGACTAGACTCAACTCCTCATGCTTTATATTTATAAACCTACAACAAATGACTCTGACCCTTTATACATTTTAAATCTATAAATTTGGTGCTGCACCAAAGGTGCATTGGCAATGTGAGCGGGAGAGGATTGCATCCAGTACGCAACTGCTGACAAAGGCATTGATGTAATAGACTTCTGGAAGACGGATTTGCAGCTATGTATGGCGCTTGAACTTGCCCACCCAAACCTGAGTTTGATGTCGATGCCGATCTCATGTTCAATGATTCAATGAGGTAACAATGATAGATAGCCAGCTATAGAAAATGTTGCACTCACATTTAGGGCGGCAATATTGAGTTGTGATAGATAGACAATTGACAATTGACATTGAGAATAGACTAGACAATAGACTATGCCTGGGAATGTGGTACTGTATGCTGCAGGTCTGTGTGTGTGTTGTAGCATTTGCTTAGTTGAACACCTTCACTTGTGTTATCCAGATATCCCGTCCAGTCTTCTCCCAAAAAATATACAACTCACACTCTTTCAATAGTTCTTGATTTTGCAAGTATACATTTCCGAACAATACAATCGTTGTCCACGCCACGCGCTTCTAAGAAGAGCAGATGGCAGCCAGCGTCGATTGTCCTTCCCCCGGATGTTGGAAGACAGGTCTCGGCGTCGCACTGCGTGATTCTTGACATACTTCCTGGCGAGTGTCCTCAACATATGCACTCAGGGACACTCCGCTGAGAAAACACGCACTTAGTAACTAGTATCAAGAGAAAAGAACCGATTGCGATCTAGTAATCACATGCACCTATGAGATGAGATGAGATCTAGACTTGTCACTGAACCTATCAGCTTTGGCCTTGTATTTATTACTAACGACTCACCAACAAACAAAAACACTCAGTCAGTGACGCAGTTGGTATTGTTTTTTTCCTTTGAGAATGATTCTGAAGCTGAGTAACGCCGCAACGCTTCCAAGATATAATGCGGCCCGCTCTTCAGTAGAAGCACCTCAATGTTGTCAATGTTACCAAAATAGATCAATTAAAACATAGCCGAATATATAGGAAATAGTCCTTCAAAAGTTTAAAGCTATCAAAATATTAGCATTGTTGATTTATGATTCATGATTCATGATCGAATCATGATATTATAAATTATATATAATATTAATATATTTATAAAGAAACGAAAGCCGCCAAACGTCTATAGGCTAGCCATATCAGGCCATAGTTGACCAAATCAAGAAAACAGTGCTGTCGGAAGGCATAAGCTGAAGTGGTAAGTTGCAAGCTGCAAAAAACAAACATCATCCAAAAAGGAATTTGATTTCATTCTAAACCAAGCGCCTTTGCGTGTTGGTCGTCTGGCGGGCATGGCTTGCTCATCCCAAGTCACTCGTATTGTATGGGCTCCATCCACATGATTTGATTGATATTGATACATTGATATGACATGTTATGTTTCAAATGATTCCATTATTCACGTGTGAGCTTGTGATGAATTGTAAATGCAGTGTATTCAGTATTCTGCTTGATGTTAAAGATGTGCCGAATCATTAAAGGTGCCTGGATTCATTCAATTCCAACAAGGCAGTAGCTTTAGTAGTATTGCTTTGTGCCTAGTGTCCTTGCTATCTTTTATTCACAGTTTCACAGCAAACAAAACACCACCGACGGACGGGCAAATTGTTTCACTGCATTGACACACACACAGAAATCATACCTGTCACGCATGCTGTTGAAACTGCCCAAAGGATGTTTGCATATGTGAGGTTCCATCAAGATATTGACTTTTTGAGTTGGACACAGTGTTTGCTCCTGAACACCCCCGCACGCACGAATGTACGCACACCCGCGCGCACGCACGTACGCACACCTGCACGCACGTACGCGCACCCGCGCGCACGCACGTACGCACACCCGCGCGCGCGCACGCACGCACACCCGCACGCACGTACGCACACCCGCGCGCACACATGTTCATTTTACACGCGCGCACGTACGTAGCAGGCGTGGTGGCTAAGACCCAAATCACTGTTTACGACATCCATAATTTACATAATGCATAAATTATAAACCATCCTCTGGGCGGTTCTGGTTCATGCTTCACACATGGCATCAGGTTCACACACATCTCAGATCTCCATGCGAGCTGTGCTCCAAAGCCCATGTTTCCATCCACCCATGCGCAGGCTCCGCGTAACGCGCTCCGCGCTCCCATCTCTGGGTGTGCGGACCGCCAGCGCGAGCGAAAACCTTGGATTTCAGCCATGGCCTCCTTGGCGGATCGGGAAGATTTGGGCGGATCCTACATGGATCGCCTGAGAAACAGGTGGAGAAATTGATCACCTTTCAGAAGCCTTGCAACATAAACCTCTCCCTGTTGTTGGCTTGGTTTGGGAGCTTGGTCTTGACCGATGGTTTGCTGCTGTCTTGACAGAAGAGTTCTGGAAGAGTTGCACCAAGGTGGGCCGGTCAACGGTGACAGGGCGTGCGGCACAGCGGAGCAAAGCAAACCAGGGTGCGCGGTACAGTACTTTTTGCTTCTCTGGACTCAAGTATAAGAAAATATAATATGAATTTGACTGGCGGCTACTCCTTCGAGTAATTATTTGTGGTTTGTCTTATGACCTGAGTTCTTCAGGAGTGCGTGCAAAAACACACACACATACAACAACAAAACAACGTCTCCCCTTACAGAAATTGCCCCACACGCTAAGGTTCCGCTTCTTTTCCATCGCCTCCTTAATACCTTTTCCAACACGTTTCAACCAATGACTCAGTCATACTACTCGTAAGGTGAGACCGAACGAAGAATAGACCCCAACATCGCAGGGTGAAGAACGCCCCTTTGTAGCCGAAAGCCTCGATGTCGAGCGCTTTTTACGAGTGCTTCGAGACGCGGTCGAGCTGAGTCGACCGGTCACGCGGACATCCGCACCGTCTGAGACGAGCAATCGACCGGAGCGGACCTCGATGGTTGCGGACCAGGAGGCGTCTCTTGTAGAGTCGGTGCTGACCAAGATGAAGAGCTTTTTGGGAGGGATGTGTTTTTTCACCAACACATGACACGTGACGAAGAAAAACCGGGGGCATGCCGTGGCCAAGCGCGCTAAGCTTCGTGCAAAGCCTTGAGTCAAGGATCCAAGCAAAGGAGAACGAAGAAATGGCAGAAATACTTGGTGACTTCAGGATCACGACCTGGCTCTGATGAGACCGGGTGGTTGAGGGCTGCTGAGAGGTCAGCGCGAAGGCTTAGTGGCGATTGCGCTACATCTCGATGATGTTTCAAGTATCACTGGCTCTGACTTCAACAGAATTGGGGCTATCTATATATGTACACTCTCCTGCTATGGTGGATGTATGGCAGGGAGTTGAGAACAAAATAGCTTGCTTTACTGGGACCAAATGACCCCAAACATGAACACAGCATCACACAAAAATATACAAAATTATCAAGATATCTCCACGGATAGTCGGTACAACAAAATAAAAATGACAAGCGCGTCTTGAGGTCTCTTTTCTGGTCCCTCATTTCCCAAGCTTCAAGTCGCACCTATCAAGATACAATCTGCTGTACTGGCAATGATCTCAGTGATTTCTCAATATTCTGCAAGCAACAAGGATTTGATTTCACATGATTTCATGAACTTGAGGACGTTCTATTCTTAAGTCATCTTAAGTCAATGCACATACCATACGAGTATAACTGTTTGCTTGTTGAAACATCCTTACTACCCACTTCCCATTGGAAAGCAACAAACACATCACCCATTCCCGTTTCTCTCTCCTCCCCACTCCCGTCCACCGCACCTTTCACCGAGCCTCGTAGAGCCTCCAGGTCGACCCCTCACCGTGGCACCGGTCGAGTGCATCGACCCATGGGACTGCCGCCCCATGGACCCCCTGGCACCACCCCAACTGATCGGCATATAGGGTGAAACAGAAATACTACATATGACATACATGGAGCGTCTGGGTATAGTTTTGTTTTCAAACAAATCTGGAGGAATCACCCCCAAACTCTATGTTTTTTCTGTGTTTCTCAAATGTGTGGCATCATGTGGGACCAACGCATTGACCATACAACATCATACTGAAGCGAATCATTCTACAAAATGTCCTGGAGAACCTCTGCTTGGGTCTTCATTGGAGGGGTAGCACTGCAACTTTCAATCTATCCATCACGCCGCAGAACGCGCCCGCCCGTCTTCATCGTCTTTCACGCCAGATCCCCGCCCACCTTCCAGGGCGTTTTGTGCTTCCTCCTCGGTCAAGTTCAACGCTTGCATTCGCTTCCTTAGGCCGCAACCCAGGTCCCCGACGGATACCGACGGCGACCGGTCGAATCCTCCCGCGACCGGTCGCGCCCAGGCACGCTCGGCTGCTGGGGACCAGAAAGCCGCTGGTGTCGGGGATCCAATTGCCATGCGAGCTGAAGCTCCAGCCCTGACCCGAACCAACGAGGATACGGTGGTTTTTGGCAAAGAGATGCGACATCGGGGTGGAGGTGACAGAAAAGCTCTGAACAACAAATGAAAAAACAAACAAAACAACACATGCATACTATAATTACTATATAATAGCTATATGGGGAATAATGCAAACTGATTTGTCTGGATATATGGAAACTGAAGGGGAACAGTCATATTGACACATCGGTGGAAAAGCACGCATTGACCCCGATAACCGCCATCGCATTGGAGACCTTGTGGAGCCTTTGCCTGGGTTGTTGCAGAAGTTGGCTTGACCCGACCTCAAGCGAAAAAGAAGAGTTGGACCGGTTTCCTTGTTTGCAAAGCATTGCCTACTATAGCCTACATCCTTCTCAAAGCAGAAGGCTGAGAAGACTCCACATCCCTCCACCTGACTCGACAAGACAAAAATCGCTCCCAACTACAGTGGGTGGACTCCGTGCCCACTCAGCACACGACACGACGCCTGTTCCGGTGGCAGGTCCTCATCGCTGCCACAGCGAGCCACGGTGTATCCACCGCCACCGATCTCTGAGGCTAAGTACCTCAGCGAGAGAAGCGGAGGCCAGAGAATCTCCGGTTTTTTTCAGCGGGTGTCAAAGGCCACAGTTGTTCTTTGGGATCATTTTGGGTCCAAACAAAGGGAAAGTTCATGGAATTTCCATTTGGAGCTTTGTCCTCGATTGAATCGTGTGCTGAGCATCTGGTTTGTTGTCGATGTGCCTTTTCTCTTCGAACCAAAACGCAGACTTCAAGTTTATGAACAACCAACATTAGCTGGATCGCACCTCGAGAAAAACAAACTTCACAATCTTCAGAGCTCATGTCCTGTAACTATTCATAGTTAACGATACGATAAGGTTATAGTTATATTATGTTATATTTAATTGTTTATTAATTATATTAGATATCAAACGACACCATGCCAGCTTCAAAGCTTCATATCATATCACGCATCACGGCCAAGATATGCCAAGATCACCAAATCCCCTCCCCCTCGACCAGCACCACCGGCCGCTTGCCGCTCGCGCCAGCCGGGTCAAAGCTGCCAGCCGCGCTCCCAGGATGAAGCTTCTTTGTCCACAGTGAGTGCCGGGTTCCAGAAGTAGACACACCACTTCCGCGCAAAGCCCAAGCGACGCCTTGTTCGATGGCCAGCCCAATTGAGTTCGGATGGCCCAAAAGCATGTTTTGTACCTCGATAGGCCCTAGGCCTGGACCCTTACGCATGGATTCACATACCATGTTCAATGATGCTTTTCAGGCGTCATGGAGTCTGTTGTCTCTTCATGTGTCATAAAGGAGCCCCCATGCAGGCAACCCCACCCCTAGAAGTTGGAGCATGCCAATCAATTAGTGAGTCAGAACTCATGACACTTGACACGCAAATGGACACACACTGAGCCCAAAGGATACAGTAGAGACTACAACTTACAGCATGTCATGGACTGAGTGAAACTCGTCTCTACTTTGCAAGGGGTTCTCTTCTTTAGACCAGCCACTGTACAACTTCTTTAGACCTGTCATATGATGATGCACTTTTTGCCGGTGTCCCGTGGGTGTCACGACGCAGAAAAAACTCGAACGCCAAGGGTCACATAGATCGGCCTCGAGTGACCTGAAACTCATGAATGTTCTGCGGTCTGGGATCACTGGAATGAGGGTATCATATAATATATATAATATGGTAGCGTGCTTTATACTACTTAAATTTGTTTGGTTAGATAATTATATTACGTTTATATATAGTTATATTTTATAGATTATGTAACTGGATGCAAATGGTATCATTCCAGGAGACGCACTCACAATGAGTTTGACACCATTTGTTGATTAACTGCACCTAGTATGTTTGTAACATCCTGACACAAAGTACTTCAGTAGGCTATGGTCGCACATATGTCACTGGGATCCGCTGGGTAAAAAGAATAGTACGAAGAGGAGGCTCTCATGTGGGACACCAAGCTATTCAGCTTCGCTTGTTTTTGCGCGGTGTCCAGAAACACATCCGATATCACCTGATAGCCTCAGTGGTTGTGATCCAAACATTGATTATCAATGATTATCATATATATATTTCTCCAAAATGGGACTGACACGACTGACGACAAAAGAAACAAGTAAATAAACGACCCTGACCCGGTCAGGTCCATGATCAAGACAAACTCAGCTGTCCATCCCAGCCATTCGTCCATGTCTCGATTTCGTCTGTCGCGAGGGATTCGGGCAACCCAGTGGCCTAGCAAGTCTTTCCTTCCCCGATGCCGCTGGTAAAGCCCATTCCTTGGAGCCAGTGCGGAGGCGTGAGGGGCGTGCGGAGTCCTTGAAGCCCGTGCAAAGTGGCCAGGGGCAAAAGAGTCGTTGAAAAGGTTGGATGGATGAAGTAATCCTCTACTCCAGATATTTCAAAAGAACAAGCCCTTACATATATCCTTATATATCTTGTATATTATATTATAAGATATTATAAGCTCCAGGTCCTCCAAGGGTCGAGTGTGAACATTTTGGGGGACCCACATTAGCTCTAGACCTCGCCCAACAAAGCGCTGGTAGGTGGACAAGCAAAAACATGCTGGAACCACCCCTCTCAGCCACACTCGGATTTACAAGTTTTGTGTGTTTTTTGCATGGCCCGCCAAGTTGCAGCTCCGGCTTCCGCGTGCAGCCACTGAACTCCAACCTGGAGAGACAGTCTAGCTCAAGCCACCGGGAGGCTTTGAACCCATTTGAAGTGTTTTGAAGATTTGGGGACTTTGCGATCCTTGAACCTAGAATTTGAACCTCGACAAGTCAGGGTTGGCAAAGAACATGCAACAAGTCTTCTTTCAACAGTAGTTTAAAGTTTAAACACATGATGGTGCTTGAAATAAGGAAGGACATATACTGAATACTTCCATATTGGCTTCTTTGAACAAATTCTCACAGAAAACGGCGACAGATGAGCCGATGGGTGTGTAGCTCTGCGGGGTGGTCAGGGCACTCCAACCATGCCCCTCTTCTACAAATCCAAGGACCACCTTGTCACATTCAGAGTGACAAAACCATCCTCTAGGGCCATCCACTTGGTGTACATTTATCAGCCCTCCTTCCTTCGTGCTGCTGTGCCATCATCCATCATCCCTCATCATCCACGAGGGAGGGCTGCTGTGCCATCAGCCATCCAACATTCCGTTATATATACAGAATATAGGGCCGTTCCATATAGGAGTGCAACACCATCCTATACCCAAACACTCCATGTATGCCAAACCACCCATCCCTCAACCCGCGGCTCTGCCGTGGCACATGGCTGGCACGCTAGGCCCCTCCGCCAGGTCCATGTCCAACTCCCCGCTGTCGTCGGCGCTGGTGGCGGCTCGGAAGACGTCCTGCGGCTCGGTTCATCGGTCTAAAGAAGTGAGCTACATGGGACTGGAAGGGTGAGCTACATGGGAAAACAAATCATTTTTACCTTAGTAACTCTTAGTTTAACGAATTCATATGTCAAATGTGTGTTAACCTTATTTAAACCATTAATTACAATTGGATGTACAGTAACTCTTCCAGTCCCATGGATGATCTGGCCTTCGGAACAGCAACAACTGACCGCACTAGACAGCAGCAAGGAAAACAAATACGTTGACCGCGTGACAGTGAACATTTGGCCCATACTTGGAGGTGCTGTCTCGCAGTGGCCTAACACTAGCTTGCTCTGATACTAACCCATTACACCTAAACATGTTCACACGTAAAATATCATAAACTTTACCACAAACATGACAATACTTAAACTTACAATATGTTAAAGATTGATCTGTACCTGCTCTAAAGTGGTCTTCTAGCATATTGTTCCCACGAGGCCGAGGACCGCCCCACCTGCTGCTCGTACTCACGGATGTCCAAAGGGATCAATGGGATCACATCGCCGTCCTGTACGGCCGAAGCACGACCGCCATGCTCACGGCGGACGGACAGGCCCTGGGACGGAAGCAACCTGAACAGTTACTAGTAGTGAACATTGCTCCTAGTAGTAAGGCCAGGAGCCCCGTTCGTAGCGTTCTTGTTTACTATTAGTAAGGCACTTGTTACTAGTAGCGATGCCCTTTGTTACTAGTAGCTTGAACATGGTGGAAAACAACACCCAAAGCAACCGGAACAACACGGAGGGCTCTTCTAACACCCAGTCCACGGCCAGCAGAATTCGCTGGCTCATCATTTCATATGAGTCAACTCCAGTCTCGTGAACGCGAAGGAGGCTTGGTTTCACAATCCGCCTGCATCTTCCAATCCCAGCCTGTGATCAAGTGACCAAAAACCCTAAAAACACCTATGGACCTATTAAGCAGTAGTTCCATGTCGGGGTGCTGAACGAACGGAGGATAGGGTTATGATCCACTCACTGGATGGGACAAAACTTGACTGAACACCACCCCGAGCTCTGTGACTCCTGGAAGCTCAAAAACTCTTTGTTCAGAATGGATCCCAGGCAAACCACTAGATATGGAACCAGGGGCCCTTGTTCGGTCTATGGTTTTCAGAACCCAAACACTCCATGTATGTTCGGTCAATGTCTACATTGACCCCCCCAAAGAACCCCAATGTAGGCAATATTATATATACATGTGATATTCCATGTCACGTCCATAGGCCATGTGTCTTCCGGTGGACTTTCGGGTCCTCACCTCTGGTACTCCGAAATTCAAGGCACAGCGGACCTCATCCAGTGTCAGGTCGTGGACACGAGTGCTAGGCTGTCAACACACTGACAGCTGGCTAGACGTCAGGTTTTGGAGATCGATCTCCTTTTAAGGAAGCCAGCTGGAAAACGCATCACCCTAGATGAATCCCTGACTTCCGTGCAAAAATTCTTAGTGGGCTTTGCAACTACTACATATAGTAATAACATATACGCTCGATCGAACTGTACTTGACAGCTAAGATTTTGTATGCTTTTCACACACCTAAGTCTTGGTAGATCCATCTATACCTAGAACTTCTTCTCGGGCATAATGTTCTTCCTATTATGGGTAAAGTCACCTTTGCCTGTGCCTAGGCGCTCTTGCCCCCTGTAGGGCGTTCTTGTCCCCTCTAGGCATTCTTGTCCTTTTGGTGGCAATTCTCAAACACAAATAAGGATCCACCCGCCACTGGTTCCAGGAACTTCCATAGTGATGAAGTACTCTGTGTATAATGGATTCACTTGATACTTCACTTTTGCATGTGTTTAGTGTTCTAGTTCTATGTGTTGTTTCATATAGTTTGAATATGTTTTTTGTGTTTTTGGTGTAGGCGTTCTTCCTGTCACTTAGGCGTCCTTACCGGTCTTACCGTCTTACCTGTTACTTAGGCGTTCTTGCCCAGTACTTTGGCATTCTTGCTTGTTTCCCCCTACTACAACCAGACAGGAAGGGTAGCCCTTTTGGGGGAATGCGTTACATTGGGTTCCACATACATTATGTAAGCGTTTGTTTTATTTAGACGTTGTTTCATTCAAATTCTGATTCTGCCTGTAAGAATGTGATTGTGCCTTGGCGTTTTTGCCCGGCTGCAGCTTACGCAGTCTTTTGTGACACGGGTTAAGTGTTCTGCCTAAATGAAGTTGGGCGGAAATGATTGCGAGGCAGGTCTAGGTATAGACGTACCGATTTATGGACTCGCAGAAATTAAAAGCACATATGGATGTTCAATCTGCAGTTTGGAGCCCCCCACAAAGACACTTCATTGACCCATTCATTCTTGTTCGTGTTAATCTGGTCAAGTTCATAAACCCACCAAATCCCAGTCCCGGAATAGTTCCTCCCCAAACACCGACCCACCGACCAGCCACTCGGTCCAGAAAGCAACGGAATGGTCGTTCGCCTCTCCCCCATCCCCGACCCGACCAGGCCGTCGTCCTCGGCCCAGACCTCGATGGTCGTTCGAGTCGTTCGATGGTCGAGGAGCCAAGGCGTGCGCCGCCTCGGTGGCCAAGAGCTGCCCAATCAACGCAGCAAAGGCCTGGCGAGCCGAGCTGCGGGGTGCGAGGGCCACCAATCGGGAGGGGGGTGCTGGGAACGTTGCACATTTGGATGAGAAATGGAGGAACGTCATAGTGAGGGGAAAAAGGTCTATCAACTACCATCAACCACCTGGGTGCTGGTTAAGTGTCATTGGTTTTGTTGGAGGGTTGTTTGAGTGTTTAATTGGCTTTTGGAACCCGTCTCAATGCACAATCTGTTTGAGGACAGGAAGGGTGGAATGGAAGTGATGTGGCACAATGTGGCGTGGCGTGTCTGAAAGGTTCCCAAAAGCGTTGACATCCGGAAGTTCATGTGTTAAATAGTTCCGGTCAATCAGAATCCCATCGTGTTTGCGTCATTAGGAGCTTTCTGTGGAGACCATGTGAAGATGTGTGGTTGAAAAATGCCTTGGACAAAGCCTCCTTTGCTGGTGGGACGGCGATTTGTTGGGGCCTTCTTTTTTCTCCATATCGAGCGTATGAAGACCAGCTGTTACGTGAACTATCATTCACCATCATTCACCATCCATCTGGTGGCCACAGGTGTCAATCAAAACGGGGCAGGAGACCGCTGGCAAATGGTCCTCCCAACAGGGCATTCAATGGGAGAAAAGAAATTGCAAGCATCTCAGACCATCCTGGTTAGCCAACATCACTGTTGCTAATGTTCGACTGTCAGGGTCAACCTACGCCCAAGAACATCCCTATATCTAACAAGTCTCACAGCCAACTTCCGGTAGGTTTGGAGGATGAGACTCGTTCTACTGTTGGAGGTGTCCACCAGGTCATTATCTGTTCACATATTCAATCATCATGAGATATATTCACTCTCTCTCCCTCAAAATTGCTATGACTCTTGCACATCTTTGCAGGCCCATTCCACCCACATCAGACTCAAATGCTGCTGAAGTATGTCGCTAACTTAATTACTTCCGGCCCCGCGGCACCCAGAAAGCATGGGCCTGCTCATCGAAGGTAATCTTCCCGCGCTGGGCCGCACTCACCGCGCGTGCGAAGTTCTCGGCATCTGGCTGGGCGGCGCTGAGGTTCAGGAGCGAGCGGAGGGGCTCGACTGCGATGGGCTCCTGCATCGGCCCCGTGAAACACAGCAGGGAGACAAGAACAAAGCCACTGGCTTCCAAGAACTTTATGACTCACTATGGCTCCCCTAGAGCACTGATTCACTATCATTCACTCCTCTCAAGTCCACGCTTGGTTCCTTTCAAAGCAAACACATCCAGGTACCTACATAGTCTATCTTTCTCTCCCTCTCTCTCTAATAAAAAGAAAGCGCTGTAAAGCATCAAACATTGGACAGCGCAAGAGTCAATCATGTTATGTCTCTTTCAACAAAGCACAACAGTCTACTGAACACACAAACACACATCCAGCAACAAAACAATCAATCACCATCCCCAACTCGGGTCCTATAGGTCCGCCCGGACCAAACCTCCGTTTCCATCTATCATCTCTCCGCTTCCGTCTCTGACGCCGAGAACCTCCGTGTTTTCCACGGCACGTCTCCGTTGTTCTTCGGCGCAAGCGTCTCGGGAGACGGTCTCGGTCTCCTCTTCGTCCAGAAGAAGCTCGACAGCTTCTAGCGCTTCTTGCAAATGCCTCGGGAGTCGAGCGCGACATCCGTGGCGGGGTGGGCGTTGATGGGGGATACGACCGAAGTCGGGAGACGTCGAATTCGGTCTTGAGTTGGGGTGGTGAAGTCATAGTTTTATGGTGGTGGAGTTTGAGAACATACTGGTACTAACAATTTGATGATGCATGCTTTAAGTCTAAGGCACTCAATTTCCTTGGTGGATGTGAGGTACTGGGTCAATGCCTGGAGCAAAAAAGGATGGCTGTCCGGCACAGTGCCGGACACCAACCGATGAATCCTCCACAGACCGACAACGGTCACCTGACCTTTGAGTTGACCAAAACCTCCAGTCCCTTCAGGGCTTATCTTCTCAGAAGGTACTTGGACCCTGCATGAACTGCGTGTGCACTGCGTGTGCACTGCGTGCCTATGTGTCTCCAATCACATTCTCAGAGGGTATGTGAATCCACAATGAGTGCAAGTTGCAAAAAACACGCACAAACAAACTGTTTATTGTAACATTAACATGATGTATAAAATGTCGAGGCCCGACAAAAGAAGCACACACACACATGAAGCATGATGAAGCCATGTGTACACAAGAAACCTCTTGTCACAAGCTGTTTTCAGATCATGAACAGCTCGTTTCTGCCGTGTGCCGTGAGGAACTTCCGGACCCGTTTCGTCTCTGGACCCGGGTCGGGTTCTCTTCAGACCTTCGCCCAAGAGGCCCCTCGTGTAAGGCGCTGGAGAGCTTCTTCTTGGCTCGTGCCAAGGCGCGCTTCCGCTCCGCAGCCTGGTGTCTTCCGTCTCTAGATCTCTTTTTGGGGCTCCAACATGCTCCCAATCATATCCTCAGAAGGTGGTAGTACTCATATCCCAAGCTGTACTCATTAGGGCTCCTGTCCCATATCCTCAGGTACGGTAAGGTGGTTAGACCCCCTGGCACCAACCCGAACCATCTTCGAAACGGCGACCCGAGTTCGGTGTCAGTTCTCCCTCACCCGGGGTTCTCCAGGTGCACGGCAAGGTGTCCTTCAACACAAGGCACGGCATCAACATTTGGACTTTCGACACAAGACGTGGTATCTTCTCTGAGGAGAGGAAATCTGGGACACCCAGGGACACCCACAAGCTGCAGTCCCTCTCACTTCACCAACTCTCCAAATATATCGAAACAAGGGACCGGTACAAAAACCCCTCAACGGGGCTGGTTGACCCGGCAAAAGCAGTAATTGGTCACTTGGAGTCTTGGGAAGCGACTCCTGGAGCGACTCGGAGATCCCGGTTGGGGGATCAGGGGCTCAGGGGCTCTTCACATCTTGACCTGCAGCTGGGAAGCCTTTGCGTCCCCCCCCGTAAAGGCCATGTCATGTACCACGTGCAAGACGGTTTGTGCCCAAGCAGCTCGAGCTGGGTGGGGGATATGTGGGGATGGGGTGAAACAGCCACGACAGAAACCCCCCGTGCACGGTGCACCTCAAGCTCTGCGAAGTGGTCTATCTCCTCCTCCTGGACCGGACCCACCTGAAGCCGGATTTGGGCGAGAAACTCAGCGCCATGGAGTCCGGTGAGTTTCCAGAAATGCGTCCGGTGACTGGCTCAAAAAAGACTATACAATTCATGGACCCGGAAAGCCGCCGGAGATGTGAATTAGTTGCCTTTTCCTGGAAAGCCTACAATCCGTGTTTGCTCGAAAGGTCGCCTCTTCAATGACCTCATCCACTTCTTCCACAATCTCCTTCACATCCGGGATCTCCTCAGAATCGGCTCAAATGGACTGGTGAGGGACACACAGTAGTAAAACATGGGTGGACATTTGAGCAACCTTTTGGGAATAAAAACGGTGCCCCCAGTTGTAAATCTATACGGCAAATGCATGTCTATTGCCCTTTGGGATAGCTCAAAGGAGAGGGCTCTATCTTGAAATACTTGACCACATAACACTGGTCCAAAGAGTGTTAGTAGTAGCATAGCACTACTAGCACTCGTACACATATTGCGGGCCATTGTAGCACATTTATCACATTTCAAGTGGGCTCGCAAATTCACTAATAAGTCAATTCACGTTTTAAATATACTGTATACTCCAGGTCTGACACCGGTAGTATTAGGCTAGTCAGGAATAGCAATTAGACCTGCAACTCCAATAAACATGTGCACGGACGGACTTTGTTCCTATAATATAAGTGTCTATGCCGTCTGCCTCATTCCAGTAATCAGAATCAGCTTTACATGAATTCACGTGATCTATAAAAACTTGTACTCTGGGTCAGCCTCCACAAACAGCAGGGGGACGACACTGCGCCTTCGCGCGAAAGCGCGCTGCTGCGACGTCCGCGAAGCGGCCGCGCTTCGAAGCCGCGACCATGGCTCCAGGTGGCTCACGGAGCCATGGCCCTTCACAACGACCTCAAACACATGTTCACATAATAAGCGGGTCTACAAAAGCGGTTCTACAAAACTGCTCTACAATATGTTTGTTCACTCTTTTTGTTAGAGTCCAAACATGTCCAAACATGTTGAAGTCTCCTCTGCCAGGCTCACAGCATCAGGAAGGAGTCGACAGGTAAGGAGTAGGATACTCTCAACACAAATCAAAACGCTGTCAGGGCTGGCCGCTAACGTTGAGACCTCCCGGTCTAGGACGATGATTGGTCGAGGACTCGAGGAAATTATTTTTCTTCCCTGAGGTTAATGGGCAACTGGCAACCACATTCGTTCCACTATATACTGTATAATTTAGGCTCAATGGTATCAAATGGTTCATCACCGCACATCAACTGATATCAACTCCGCTGACCTCATCAGCTCCCGAAGCCAAAGGCTGGCAAGACGCAAGCAGTGATGCTTGCCAAACTGCATGCAACTCAAGCTCTCAGCGTCTACCTGGAACCCCCCAACAACCAGAAACAAATGGTTGTTCCAATATGGCAATTGAGATCCTTGACATAGGAAATGGCTGTTTGGGGAAAACGTCCATTTCTTTCTGGTTCTTTGGGTTTCTAGGTACCTTTCAAAGTTCCAACAAACAGGATCGCTCCAACAACTCTACAGGTAAGAAGAACTCCACCGGTCGCGACCGGTCGCCCTCTGAGACGCGAGACGGGCACCCACACTGAATCAGTATGGGCCGTGGCTTATGGGGACCCCCTCTCAAGGCCCCCCCTGGAATCATTGTTTAAGCCATCCCCTATGAATAAGTAACTTGCCCTATGTAACTTGACATGAGGTGTCATGTGTCCCGTCTATGCAAAACGAGGGCCGCCCCGCCCCTCAATTCGCGAGCACACAAAATGGCTGGGGGCTTAAAACAAGATCAAACCAGTTGAATGTCTGTACTTCTGAGCAAAAGAGGAAACAACAAAAAACAACAGGCTACTGGGAACCATTGGAAACCGGAGCCGACTGTCCTTCCGATCGGGTCCGCTGCGAAGGCCTGGCCGTCGAAAGCGGCAAATCTGATCGCCCAGGTGCTCTCGAACATAGCGAGCCTCTGAAGACCACTCTGCCTGGCAAACGACGGAGATCTAAGCAGTGACAAAAAGCGACCACCTTCTTGAAAGAGGACTTTCTACTTCCCGGGTATATCGCTAAGGTTAGACTTTTCATCTGAAGGATTCTATAGGGGATATAAGTCTGCTAACCGACAAGTAACCCTTGTTCTAAGCCTTTTAAGCTCTAAATGAAGGTTTGGTTCGATCTAGCTGGGACTTGGCTAACTCATGCCAACTCATATCATACAGGATTGTAATTGCTTAGATCTGACTTAGCTGAGTCGAAGTTATGTCAACATAAGATTATCTTGGACTTAGTAAGTCCAATCTAAGTCCAAGCGAAATCTATGACACATGGAAATACTTTCAGACCTCCCCCGTAGAAGTAAAACAACACATGTCAAACGAGCTGGGACTTGGCTTAGACTCAGGTTGGACATGGCTCAGAATCAGTAAATCCAACCTTAGTCCAGCTTATAGAAGTCTAATCTAAGTCTACGCTGCGTCTACCTTAGCTAAGTCCAAGCCAAGTCACTAACACAAATTTTCTACATATTAGATCATATTAGACTTAGCTAGCCTTAGCTAGCCGTCAACCTGGAAAGTCCTGTCCGCATATCACTTTGCCAGGTATATAAGTCATTATAGGAATTTCCTGGTTAAGTCACGAACAACTCGAAAGCATCAAAAGCTGACGATTCTTCCAAACCGACGACTACACGAAACACCAAAAGATGACGGCCCGAAACACGCGTCAAGTCGAGTCAAGTCACTTGTGTGGGACAGGGACAAGCAGCGCAAAAGCGGACCTGAGCGCGATCCAAAGGAGTGCCACCATGTGCTTCACCCTTGTGAGTACGGTGCACACCTTTGTGTATACGACCCATTGTCATCCACGGCATTGGTCACATCAAATATCATCCAAATTGACCAATATCGTCCAAATAGAAACCGTGGTTCACCTCCTGACATGCTGCAGAGAACTGGTTCCCGTTCCCACGTTCCTCTTTCGACAAATTCTCTAAGTGCCCGGACGAGTGGGCTCGACGGGACGCCAGTGTTCGACTCCTTCCCTGGCGAAATCTGGGACGGGGGAAATGAAAAGGAACATCCGAGACATTCCGAGACTTTGCCTGGTCAATTTAAATCTATATATAAATCCAGAACCAAAAACCAAGCAAAGTGGGTGATGAAACGAGAGAGCCCTGGACAGCCACTGAACCATTTAGAGTATTGAAGGATCGACATCGCTCCAAACTCAAAAAGCAGGCAAACCGCACCAGCAGCTTTCAAGCAACCAGTCCAACCTGAAGGCAACTGATGTTAGAGCATTGACAAATCCAAGTCACCAAATACCAAACATACTTACAACATTAACTTTCGACAACTTGCCAGGTTGAGTTTTCATGAAAGTGTTCATGTAAGTGGGTTTCCAAGAAAACTGCACAACCTGTGCAGTCATCTTCATTCTGTCGAGTCTAGCATCCTCTGCTACCCCACTCGGCTCGCTTCGGAGAGCGCACCTCGCCGCCAGCGGCTAGGCCCAGGGGAAAGCGGGCAATCGATGGAGAACTGCCAAAGAAGCCGCTCGCCTGTCAGACAGTTGAAGGTCAAATCTGAACACCGTTTTTTGCGATAATTAATACCCTTTTGCTTGGAATGTCGAATCTCTCAATCAGTTTTCCCTTTTGTGTGGTGTTTTCCTAAGATCATGTGGTCAGTTCCAAGGGTGCACTTGTCCCAACCGATGGCAAACAGTCTGCGTCCCTACCCGTCCCTACCCGTCCCTACCCGCAGGGACGTGCCTGCACGGTTCAACATCCTCCAAACGGGCCAGTTGACGGCCTAGTGTGCCGAACATCAGAAAAAATCAGGCGTTTGAGGTCCTTTAAATGTCCCGAAAAGAGTGCTCAATTCCTCGCTGTTGGGGATTAGGATGAGTTAGGAGGGACTAAGGAAAAAACTAGTTTCGCCGGCTTTTGGGAGCTGTGCAACATAGGCTGGACCATACTCCGGAAACTTCAGCATCAATTCAACTCTAAATGGATGACGCCTCGACATAGCGTGAGCCCCTTTATGCTGGATGCCTTCACCCTGTAGAGGATACACCCTGAAATGACCTCCTGTGCATAGTCACTCTTTAGGTCATGGGTCCTGGAGTCGAGCGAGATCAGCCGACAAGGCAGGCTTGGTAGATGGGGAGGTACCGCCGCCAATACTGACCCTGTGCGATTCGCACAGTGCTGACATGGACACTGCTAGAAATGTCCCATGTTTACAATGTTACCATTTTTGACAGCTTGGATCATGTCTTGCTTTATCCCATTTTTTACCAGAGACTAGACTTGTAACATGGAATTTACAAGGGCGAACAGCCGAAAATGCAATCATTTTTTGCGCACACGCGTTTTGCAGGTCTGTTGGGTTTACAGTTTGGGCCAGGTCCGGGCCAACGCCGCAAGCAAATTCCCTTTGTTGTTCCATCGAAACTGGAAACTTCGGACATATTCGTCGACGAGTTTGCGTCACGCTGTCCTAAACCATCGGCACCCCATCCATGGTGCCAAAATCAAGAAATCTCGGGCCAGAAGTTCACTTACATTGGTCAACAATAAAGCAACACCATGATGATTGCACAGGCTTTAGACCTAGTCCTCGGATGCACACTTCCCCTTTCATTTGATGTTTACATCATTAAAGCCAAAAAAGGCCGTCACGTAGCGGGACTTGCACCAGTACACCAATCACACATGCACCCCCATCCCCAACGTAGCATCAACTTCGTGACGTAAGTGCAAGCGAACGTTAACATGCCCCACCCCCACCCACATCCACAACGTAGCATCAACTTCGTGACGTAAGTGCAAGCGAACGTTAACATGCCCCACCCCACCCCACCAAAAATAGCGATTTCCCCTGGGGTCGCTAACAGCGGCGCTAGCGAAGCTTCAAGTTGACAAGATAGAACAGAGTCTGTAGCTAACTTGTGAGTCCGGACCAGTACTGGGCGGAATAATGAGATCTAATTAGTACTGACCTCAACGTTTCACTTCATAAGAGACATCACCTCTGCAAAAAAACAATTTTAACATACCTGTTTGTTCATGTTTTGTCCTACTTATATACCACCTGTTTGCCATTTGCCACCGGCCAGTTCAATCCTCCCCCGTTTTCGCCAGAGTATGGCCCGCCCGTGGGTCTCCGCTTCCTCCGCTTCACCTTTCCCACTCCTTCCGCTCGCTCGCTGAACCCGCTGAACTTGTTTGGTTCGGAGGCGCGAGGAGTTCAAAGAAGTAGGGTCCACCGCTGTCCGCCCAAATGCTCAGCTCCTGGTGCGTCGTGACCGGTCGCGTGCCGCTGCACTCCGACTCGAGAGTCACGGCTGCGACCGCGTCGTATGGGCATGCGGGATGAGAGGGAATCCGGGGAGAAACAGACCATGGGTGGGTGAAAATGGCTGGTCTTGGCAAAAACTCGGTTGACTGGATCATAGATGATCATAGGGTCCCCCAGCATGCCATGCCAGAACAAGAAAAGGGTCACATGACATGCCCTTAATTTTGAGCTTCACGTAACACATCGTAACACCAACAAGGGCTTTCATATCATGTGCTTCCCATCAAGGCATCAATGAAGGGTTTGGAATACGACATGGTCCATCGAATCAATAACAAGTCCCTGAACCGATCAAGCTGTCGCAGGGGTTTCTTATCCAAACACTCCATGATACTCCATGTATGGTATATATGCCTACATTGACCCCGACTTCAACCACCCCAATGTATCCAGCCACTCCCATGGAGTGCTTGGGCCATCTGTCGTGTCAACCGTCCGGCACACCGCTGTGCCGGACTGACTCAAGGTGGTCGATCCTAGCAGGCACTGCACCACAAAATCATCCTCACCATCCTACTTGACCTCAATATACCTCTATAAATATCTATGAACATCCACAATGCAGTCATGATTCTTGAAGTTCACCGTCGACCTCTCAGTCCTCGAACTAAAACATTCCAAAACATGCTCAATGCTAGAACTGCTAGAAACAAATCAACCAGCTTCCCACCGGTGGCATGACCACGTGCCCCGAAGTCATCGTTTCGGCTGTCTTCTTCATGACACCCCTGATCCACCGCTTGCACTCACCCACGTCTGAACGAAAAAAAACACCTCCACAATCCTCCACAGCTCGTCCGGTTGGTCCGGGTCCGTGGTCCTTCTCCACAGCTGTGAAGAGCCGTTCCGCTTCTCGAAGCGAGGCCAATGAGAACCTGAAGCGCCGCCACCCTCGCGGGCGCCGTGGGTCCAGGTGGGTGAAACAGCGGTTCCGCCGCTCATCGGATGGAGACGGTCCAGGTGATGAGACGCGCAAGGGGCCAATTTCCGGACGTGGATGTTCCGGTGTTCAAGGTCTGAAAAAGGTTATCTTTCGTTGTTGGTGTAATGGTGCTCACAGGTGTTCACACGTATGTAACCTGGACCCCCAGTCTGGGGAGGTTCATGGACACCCCTTGACCGTATGTGGTCGACTCTTTTGGCTATTGATTATCATGGACACCCATCCGTGGTGCTGGAATATGAATACATGTTTCACTGACTGTGGACCGGTGGACCTGTATTCGGTCTCTTTTCGGCCTCACATCCGTCCACCGCACCGCACAGCTAGGCATCCGCACTGGGAAGCCTCCGGTGGCTCGGCCTCTCCGAAAAGGATCTGGTTCTCTGACAGTCCAGAGGGCAACATGCTCAGAACTAGCTAGTAATAATGCAGAATCGACTATAGACTGATTCTGCAGAATTGGCCATCTGCTCAGATGGCGACATGCAGAATTGGGACTCTGATTTATATACCAACAGAGGTTGAAGGATCCAAGTTTGCCTATCCCAGTTCGGTACCCCGGTCCTAGTTCAGGTCACTGGCTACCTCTCTTGGTACTTATTGCATCAGTCCTTTGCAGCACAAGCGAACCATTGAATCCACTCCCACCAGTGCCAGCTGCCTGAACCCGTGCCCACCCGACCAGCGCGTAGACCAGCGACGGCCGTTTCAGGCTGTGTGACATATGTTGAAATCTACGTACTCATGGAAAGAGCAACCCCATGAACATCCCTGATGAAAATTGCCACCAATTCACACATCATTGCGATGAGAAGGCCTGAAAAGGTAGAAAGTAGTAGTACAATGTAGTAATTATGCATGTGTTCGCAATGCCAGTTCTCGTTTCAGGGTATCCCCAGAGACCAAAAGTCCTGTAAAAGAGATCCACATCAGCTACCCAACCCTCGCCTCGTCGCCCCCCCTCGCATCATGTCGCACCTTCGTCTCGCTCAACAGCCAGTCCGCGGTGGCTGCCAAGGCTGCACCTCGCCTCGGTGCTCAAGACGCATATCTTTCTGCATGGGCCCCTTTTGTGGCCCCCAACACTTGGGAGAGGATGAAAACAACAACTGATGAGCCGACGTGCCAAGTGACCAGAGTCAGTTCCTGTCATGCTTCGACTGGGAGTGTTTTCTTCTACAACAAACCTCCGTTCAGGCGTGGCGGCGTGGGTTCTTGTCCGACCGAACGGGGTCGTCCGAACTTCACGACACCGAATTTGGGCCTCGCAGAAATCCTGAGACATGCATAGCAAAATCATAGCAACACTCGAGCTGACAAAAACAAAGTTTATGATTGATATGATTTGGGTCTATCCTACTGCCTGTAACAGTGGATGATGATGGTTAGTAAAGGCCTTATACACAAATAGTGATAATTGTTTACTGACTGTTACAGGTAAGAACGGACAAATCCAAGATATATATGATCCATCGATCCTCTTGGGGTAGCGCAAGAACTTAGCCGTAGTCACATGCATCCTAAAAGCCACTCCGGAGTGCATGTTAACACATGCATCCCTGTTCAGAGTCCAGTCCCATTTTTGGGGCACACTCGATTCTGGTCTAAAGCTGCAGCTGCAGCCCTCTTGCAGCGGAAAATCGCCTGGCTACGAGTTGGCCTGCCGTTTTGCCAAACGGCAGGATACGCCGATTGGCCTGATTCGCCAGTGCTACCAGGTCTCAACAAATGCAAGTGATGAAGCTGTCTTACTATCAAGGACCATGTTAGTGGGCCCATGAAACAGTTACAGCTTGAAGGATGACAGACAAATTCCGCAGCTGCAGCTGGATCGACATCTACAAGCCATACAGAAGTCTCACAAATTCGGCGTTCTCCTCGAAACCCAACCAAAAGAGCACACTCGGACTCATTGACATGAGATATATGAAATGCCCCCATGACATCTCGTGACCATGTGTCCACAATCTCTTCCAACTTCCAACTTGAGTGAGTTGGAGCACGGCAACTCTGGTTATCCGACCTTAGGTCATCCACATGGAAAATCACATCCAATCCGTGGCGAATCCGGCCCTTCCAAGATTTGGAGAATCGCTTTCTCCAAACAAGCACAGCTTGGATGCTCCAAGGCACACTTTGGTTGTGTGATCGGCCATGAAAGTGGAACTTGAATCAACACTTCATTTGGCATGCTCGCTTAAGAATACCTTGAGTTCCCGTGGGGTGTCTGCTTCGGATCTCTAGATTTTTCCCTGCTATTCTTGGGTGCGAATCTTCACAGGCAGTCGAGTCTATACCATGAAGCCGCAGGAGCCTGTCCTGTTTCAGGTCCACTCCATGAAGCCGCAGCCGGGTGACGACGAACGCCAACTCTCACCGCTCAGCCTGGACGTGTGTGCTGCCGGATTTGAGATCCTTTGCATGGGTTCCACAAAAGGCCTTGTCCATGACTTCAGCACACCAGGTTTACTATGTCCAAAAGCACTCTCATTGTACCCCCTGCTCTGGTTAAAAATTAAATCCCCGGCCAAAAGAACACACCGAATTCTGGCCCCCCGGTCTTGGATCCCGGTCTTTACTTCGGGTCCTCAGATGTTGGCGAACATCCGGAAGAGGAGGATCGCCACGCCGAGGATCGCTGCGATGTACGCCTCACGTCCGAACCCGCCCGGAACGTGTGGACGGAACGTGTTCGATGCGACGGTGGACAACGGTGAAACCGAAACGGGGCGGAACAGAGGAAGGCTGACAGAAGCTTTACTGGTGGGTTGAAGTTGCGTGGTCGGGTGGCTGGTCTACTGTTTTCTGGACACCTCGAAAAGTGGCAACCCTCCTCCTGGACTCCTCAGCAACAAACAACAATCACAAACCTCCAGCCCGCCCGCTCCAACTGGTGGGCCAGGGCACGTAGAAGGCCGGGTCCCGGTCAAGCTCCTTGCGAGGACGTCTGAAATGGGGACTTGAAGGATAGCAGGAAAGTTTGGTGGACTTCCAGTCTTGTTTCTGTTCTGTGAGAGAGAGTTTCTGAAACAGCGTGTATCACGAACCATGCAATAGATATGTGTTTTTGATTGTTTTTGGCTTGCGTAAACGTTCCAGGCATCGCAGAAGTCCTTCGTCCCCGAACTCCGAAAGCGCTCGCGCTCGCGGTCGATGCTCCTTCAAAGGTTCACGGAACGCCCTCTTCAGCGCCTTGATCACCTCCAGCACGTGTTTTGTTGAAAAACTAAGTTAGCCTTTTTGCACTCAAAGAGGAGACAAATGAGCAGTGGCTGAACGGGTACATCTCTCCAGGGTCCAGGTGTATATGATGAATTTCATGAATGTCCAAGAAATCCAAGAAATCCTGGAAGGTTTTCCGAACAGCTCAAAAGGTTCAGTCACGTCCCAACCCAGAACTTGACCAAAATGCAATCCGTTTTAAATAACAGAACCTACTCCCATTTATTCCCTGCGTGGTTCGAGTTCTGCTTGATGGCCGAGATCTCCAACACTTGAAAACCCATAACCAACCTCCAGGTGACCTTACCTTCCAAGGGATTGTCATGGAACATCATGGTGTATCCATGGGTGTATCCATGCGTAAGCGGGCGTTTTTGTCTCCGTCGCGTGTCTCCAACGTGTCTTTGAAGGACCCTCTGAAGTGAATCGTCCAGCCATGCACCATCCAATCAGCCAACACATTTCTACGCGGTTCCGCATGCAAAGGCCGTTTCAGGCTGTAACTGAATCTATATATATAATTAATTATATATAATACATATATATATATATATACAAACCTCTGCAAACCAGCCAAAAACAAACCAGATCAAACCAGGCTCCCACCTCGTTGCTATCTGCACCCAACTCTGCAGCGGTCAAAGGCTCGGCGATGGTCTGGCCAACCCATTTCCCGGCGATGCCCTTGCTGAAGACCCAACCATCGCCGTTCGCCAGTTTCCTGGGACGGGGGAGCTCGGCACGGCATCACTCGTCTGACCTTCTGAGCTCGGCAGAGGGTTTGGTGCGAACGCGGAACTCGTCCTTTGGGTTCATGTTGCTACCACCTTGTTTTGGGTTAGCAAACCATTAGCAAACCCCGTGAAGCGTTTCACAGGGTTTGCAGCCTTTGAAGGATTTTGAACTCATTGGAAGTAGTTTTGGAATCGTTGGAGAATTCATAAATCATTTCAAGCAGGCAAGTTGACACCCACACGCACATCCTGCGGACGAGTTGCATCCCAAAGTTACTTCAGTTGTATCGGGAAAGAGAACTGCTCATGTTTGGACGGGTGTTTCAGTGCTTGAAGGACCCCTGATGGCGGGGGCCGATATACCCGATATATTTTAAGACTGAAGCCATGTACCGCCCATGCGAGGGTACTCCATCGACCCAGATAGGAGTACTAGCGGACGTCTACCGATATATTTCTATGTACAGGTTCGAAGACCTCAGGGAGACAATCTCGATGTCTTTGGACTCTATTTTGGTGAGTCCCTCACCAAGAGCTGATCAAAAACAATATAGCATGTATATATATATATATATATTATAGCTTGTGCGATGGCAAAACCAAGCCCTGCCGGAAACCTTGATTGGTTGAGGATGATTGAAGGGTCATACCACATAAAGCTGAACAGCTCACTTCATTATGCACCGTTTCTTCATTGTGAACTAGTACTTCATTATGATAAACATATATACATTAATTTCCAAATGTTGCTGCTTGCTCATATCTAGCCGGTGCCCACATCTATAGTGACTTGTACAGTAGACCCTCCCCCCTCAAGGTCTGTAAGGTCTGGCACCCCAAAATTCTGGATGAATCTGGAGGAGGTAATTGCTCATAGGGATCCCAAAGACAAAATCTCTTCAATAAGAAGGATCTCAAAGACTAACTTTTGCATGAGGAGGTATATATCTCCGATCGGCCAAATCTATTGGGGGGAGTGTGCAACAAAAACTGCAACAACGGTCTTTTTGAAAGGTGGTGAGCACTCCAGGACAAAATTGAGCCAAATTACATCAAAGTTGGACGGGGGGAGTTCCTCAATCTGGTGTTGACATTAGCAAGACATTAAGGTGTCCCCTTCAATGGTTACCCCCTAACAACCGCTGTGCAAAAGCCCCACAAACTACAATTAGCTGCATGATTCCATATCATGTCCATCCAACTATTGCGCATGCAGTTCCAATGCAAAGTTCCTTTTACTGGAAGGGATGCCAAGACATCGTCCATGGATGACTTTGTCTGCTTGCTGAGAAACATGTTCACACGTCTTCATTCCAACATGTCTTCAGGACCTCCATCTGATGAGTTGGCACCTGGGGCACCTGACGTTGGCACCTGTGAACTTCACACTTAATTAGGCTTATATAGGCACACAACCAGAGGAGTTGGCATACCAGGTATGGGCGAGTGACCCGGCCAAAAGGAGTTAAAAGTTGTTCCACCCCAACTTATGCTTAAAGTTTCTCCGGGCAAGTGAAGGTATTCCATCATGTGTTCCTCATGAGTTCTGACGTTATTATGCTATGGTACAAGAGCCGGGTTCGGACAGAGGTGCATCTCAAACAACCAAGTCTCCACAGTAAACGAGACATGTAGAATCATATAGATCCACTCTCTGAACTGTTGGGAATCTGCAAATGCCATCACGCACAATCAATTGGCTCTTCAATTTCAGTCCATGCCCAATTCCCCTCTAAGAAAACGTGGCTCCGGTCCGTTAAACAAGTCCCAAGCTTCAGGAAGGTCTGTCCATCTGCCACGATGCTGTCGGAGACCTGAAACCTCGATCCATCTCCGGCCATTTATAAGAAACAAAAACACAAGCGTACAGCATATGACTGATCATTTATAGCAAATTGCCATATTACTTATAGTAGTATTTATTTCATATTATAAACCATAAACAAAGACCAACACACAACGTCGTGAATTCTCTACATCATTCACCCAGTGGGAGCTTGCTTCGCCACAGAATGTGTGTGTGTGTGGCGGTTGAAATGATTGGCAACTACGGTACCAGTCGGTGCACTACGAACAGTGTTGAACCCCACCATGTACATTCTGGTGAAATATTTGGTTGGATTCTATTCACCGAGTCCTGGCACAAATCTTGATTTTGATGGCTTCCAGGAAGGACTCTTCAAAACAAAAGATAGATAAAAACAAAATCACAAGAACCGCACAACCTTGTCCCACCGGGCGCCTTTTAAAGCAAACACGCCATGAAAGTCAGGGCACTGTTGCCCCTGTTCGAGACTCTTTCCAGATCGGAGGCTCTTCACCTCTGGTGAGCTGAGAAGAGAGCCCGAGCTTCGAACATGTAGACAGGTCGAGCAGTGTTGAATGATGCATCAAATGTTATATGACAGTATATGTACGTAGAATGGTAACATGTACTGTGTATATATACATACATAATCATTTTGTGAAAGAATTGTGGAATCCCGTTCTTTTTGACCCCTCGCTTGCTTTCTATGTGACGGCTTGACGTGAATGGATCAACATTCAAACCTCAACAGGGGTGAAAAGACACAACTTAGAACTCACGCCAGTAGTGTTGCATGAGTGATGGAACATGGCCATGCGAGGAACAATATCAAATCCCACAGGTGGGATATCTTAGGGGCCTTTCACCTTTCCATGTTTTATTCATTTGGCATCTTTTCAGGTGGATCATGTAGACTCATGATTCATAACCCGCCACATGAATGAGGAGGTGTTACAATCCAAATAGGGTGGGTCATGCATCAAAAGCCTATATTAAGCTCCATGCTCGTCTTGTAAATACATATTGTATATATAATATATATATATAGTAAACACCTTTTGTGTGGGCTCATCACAAGGCACAATATGCCGGTGCTTCACAGGGGGGTCCACTGAAGGCACTGCGCCGTGTATCACGGGCTACCCCGTCTCATCGGAACCCCCACATAATTACTTGTCATAGTTGGAGCAATGGATCATATCAGATCCCTACCTGGGGTGATGAAGTGGAAGTCATGTCCCAACAAGTGTTTTATCCTCAGCCATGTCCAGCCCAAGCACCTCGGGCGACACACGCACATTGATCTTCGTGAGCGCTCGATAGTACACAGGCGCTTTGGGCGTGGGACGAGGCGGCGCCGCCGCCGCCGCGGTCCGCCAGGTGCGCGTGCCCCGCGCAGTTGCAACCCGCGGACGTTCCGCCGTGAAAAAGCAAAGGGTGCGAAGGGAAGCCCAAAGCAGGGCGGCACTAAGAAGGTGCGAACGCATGGCGGTTTGGTCTAAAAATGGCTAAGGAAGGCAACAATCAGTGAACAAGCATGGAGCATCATCGATGGGGAGAAGGGTGTTTAGACTGGGTCCCGTTCGGCTCCTTGAAGCGATATAGCTAGCTGTGCATGTCCGTCACAAATCCATGACAACTCTTGACATCGACTCTGGGTCTAATCGACTCTGGGTCTTCTTTTTTGGGCATCCCCAACTGCAAGGGGCAAGCACCCTCCTTTGAGGAAGCATCAACACCTCTGCGGCACGGCAGCGGTGACTTGTTCCAGAGATCTGTTCATTGTTCTTACGCATTCCTATTGTTGCTGAAAGTTCAAAACAATGCAAGTCGATGACATGATGGAAACTATACTGTGAATATCGGTGAATCCTCGTTGTAAGGCCTTTATCGGGGCGAAGGAAAGCAAGGAGGAAGCAATGACCCCAATTGAAGTTTCACATATCAAGACGGCAAGACCAGCCAATGTAAGCCAGTTACAAGTGGTTGTCATTCTGATCATGTCCAGCCCTCACGGCATAACCGGAACTGCCGCCCTTCCCAAACACTTCATTGGACTGGATTATTTACATACAAAATCATACAAACAGGGTCCACTGATCGGTTTTGCTATGCTTGTCCCATGGAGTGTCAGGGTAGTTGATCGACCTTCCCGTTTTAAACACCACACAGCTTCAGGTGGTTGATCCACCAAGATCCCAATCGGCCCATCCCAACGATGGTCAGTGCAAACACCCAAAGTCTGGCCAACAACACTTCTGTTTCTCATATGTTTCTCATCTGCCGCGATTGAACACTTATAGTGAGCCCCAATAGGTAGAAACGGTGTCCAATACATGTTTAGTGGGGATCTACTTTTCTATCTTTGGTGTCTAATACTGCTTTTCAAGGGCACCACGACCACGGCACCACGACATACCCCGGCAGTGGTAGCTCTGGGTCTTCCAACTCGCTTGCAAGGTCACCGGGCGATCCTCTGCCACGGCCTCGCTCCGAAGGAACGAACCGATCCGAACGGAGGATCCGAACGAACGGAGGAGTCGCAGCGCCGGTCTGCAGATCGCTCCGGATCAAAGGAAGAAAAAGGAACATCACTTGGATTCCTTTTTCACTTGGTTGGTGAATGGAAGAAAGGTGAAGCATCAAGAAAGGCGATGCATGGTGAAATCGAAGAGCCGACATGGAGAGCCTCAAAGAAGGTCTCCCAGTCTCCCACATCCGCAGGTTTAAGCTCCAAGATTGATGAATAAAACCCTCCATATGGAGATGTAAAAGAACCATTCCGGAGGTTCATTAAGAGTCAACCTTGTTGATCATGCAATTAGATTCAGTTCTCCTTTGGTCTGCAGCAACGACGTTTCTGGAGCCTTGTTCACCTCCTCTTTGTAGCTCTTGTCCTCTGGCCATCCCCGTTGCTCACCTGAAGAAACGGTGAAACGGCCAAGCCTGAGGAGTTTCCAGAAACCAGTTGGGCACCGAGCAGTACCAGTGATTCAGCCTTTAGACTCACCTTTGAACACTGTACACTCACTTTAAACACAGCAATCAGTTCTTTTAGGTCCATGCCACATGTTACCCCAAAAAGCTTCTTGGGATTGCTTTCATGCCTTTCCCCCTTGGGATGCTCAGCTAGCTGACTATCTGTCTGGTCAGGTTGGTCTAAAACAACCCGCCCGCCCAACTGCGGATTGCAGGACATGAATCAAATCCGTTTGAAACCAGGGGTCTCCGGATTCCAACCACCAAAGCTGGAACTCTATTCGAATTGCAACGCAAAACGAAAAGCCCGGCTTGGTGTATGTCACCCCCAGTTGTGCTGCAACTAATCTCTGGTGGTATGTATAATCACTTTCAGTCAAAACACATGGATTGGACATGATCCGATCCGATCCTCCACCAAGTCCATCACAGGATGTCTCGTCTTGTTCTGGACCACTCCGTCCTCACTCCCCCCTAGCTGAGGTCCCTCACACATGCTGGGGCCTGAGGCCTGATGAATCCGAGGACGACTGAATCATCCGGACGAGGGGTGCCTGCATGGAACATTCTCACCGTCGCAAGGAGATCCTGCGTCACCTGAGACTGGGACTACCATCTATATATATATATATATATCACCATAATATATACATATATTAATATAGACACACACACACACTCTGACAAACACATGTCATGGAAGTGGATGGCATGATCCCTTGGAAGACTACTTTCCTCTACAAGGGTTGGTTTGCTTTTTCTAGATCTTGTTTTTTCGAGTTTTTGTTTATGGTTTTTTTCTTCTGGGAGTGCTTTAGAAGCAGAAGGAGCAGCAAAAGGGTGAGAAGGGGCAGGAGAGCGAGCGGGAGGGAGAGAGGGAGACAGTGACAGAGGGGAGGGAGACAAAAAATACAGCAAAGGAGGAGAAGCAGTGAGGAAACAGGAGAGAGGAACTACAGTACTACAGTACTTAAAAGCAGAAGGAACAGCGAACGGGAGGGAGAGAGGGAGGGAGGGAGAAAAAGCAGCGAGGAAAGTGCCCGGGTGTGTTTAGCAAAGCAGGAGCAAAGCAGGAGCTTTGCTAAAAAGGGTAAGGAGACGAAGCAGGGTAAGGAGACGACAGGTGGACGAGAAGAAACCAAAGCTTCAACCGCACCGTGCCGAACAAGAGCCGTGCCAAAACTGCAACCGGTCTCTGCCGGTTCTAAACATCACCCGTGCAACAGTTACGTGTGAAACAGCGGCAGCCATAGGCGGCTCCACAAGGCGAGACGAGACGAGACGACCTTCCTCATCTTCCAGAGACCCAGAGACGTGCCAGCGGATAAGGCAAGCCTTCAAAGGGGAGCAAGAATGATAAGAAAACAATACCTAAACGTATTCCAAAGAATAGAGTAAGTGCAAAAACATGCAAAAAAAGGGAACTTCTTGAGGGTCTTGTGAGGTTGGCTTAGGTTTTCACTTGCTTAGGGTTTCTTTAGGCTTGGCTTCACTTCTTTGGGGTTTCTGTGGACTTTCTTCCCTACTGAAAGCACAGGTGGAAGCAAAAGCAAAAGCAACCAAAAACGAAGGAGAAGAAAAAGAAGCAACAGCGAAAGCAAAAGCACAAGAGAAAGCACAAGCAACAGCAGAAGAAAACGCAACAGCAAACGCAAACGGAAAAGCAGAAGCAAAAGGCACGCAAAAACAAAAACACTACCAATCAAAAGGTAAAACAACAACAACAACACCAACAACATCAACAACAACAACAACAACAACAACAACATACTAGAACACATTACACACATTTCCAGAGAAAATGCTCCTCTAGAAAACACAGGACATGTCCAAAGCAGTGAAGATTATTCTCTGTGAGTTGCATTGCACTTACCCGTTCTATATAGATGCTTCAAGATATAGCGACATCGCTTTGCGCCCCAGCCACGATTGGTACTGTTAAACCCCAAAGACAACTACATACAAATACAAAACACACAGTACGACATTGACAACAAAACAAATAAAACAATGCAAGTACACCATGAAGCTCTACAATATCTATAAGGTATGTATGTATATATATATATATGTTACACTATACTAGCAAAATGCATCGCTACTAGGAACAAGGGCATTACTAGTAGCAAGGACGCTACTAGTAGCTTTTGCTACTAGTAATGCCCGCTACTAGTAGCGACGCCCTTGTTACTAGTAGCCAACCACCTCCCCGCCTCGGCGTGAGAAAAGCTCGAGCTTGCACGATCTCGCAGCTCGCGCTGGCGCGCGGCCACGCCGTTGCCCAAGCGCGCAGCGATCTCCTCCACCAGGCCATCCAGCCTTGACCAGTCGAGCGCGGTGCGCGCGGTCTACACGCGGGCTCGGCCGGTGGTTTGGGGAAGTACAATGATGAGAGGGAGAAGATGAGGGGAAGTGGAGGAGTGGAAGTGCAATATGGGAAAATCATGGAACATCTGGCAGGTTGTAGGGGACACTGGGCAACATGCTGTGCAGAACTTTATGGCACTTGCTATGTCTGCTATGTGATTTCCATAATGTGTATATATAATATGTATGTATATATATATATATGTATACAATCTGAGTGCCGGGAAGATCCATGTCTTGAGATGTCTTGAGTGTATGATGGTGCCATGATGCAATTTGGATCGAGCCTATAGATCTTGGACCCCAAACATGTTCCCTCCTTCCCAGGAAACCAGTATGACATAGGAAACGGGCATGCTACAGCACTGTTGATCAATCAAACGCCCCCTCTCCAGAAGGGTTTTACATCTCCAGTCGGGGGTTATTCCACAATCGCTTCATCAACAGTCATACATGAATGCCAACCCTGTTGGAGTGATCTGGAGCCCCCATCCGCCCACCTCCTCAACCCAGCTCGTCCGCAGCGTGCCTGAGCTGGTCCCCAATGCGAGCCAATACACCGAAGACGGGCCTCAGGTGCCCAGCGCTGCAGACCAGCACTGTTCAGTTGCTCGGACCAGCAGTCATTCGGACGGCCGATCTCCGGTCATTCCCACGTCCGACGTGTGGTGCATTCACCCTATTGGTGGAGCCAAAAACCTCCCCTAGTGCCTGTGCTTTCAAGCGCTGTACAACAAACCTTGCTGGAAAAGGGGCCACACAACAGTAAGGGGGGGCCTCTTGCCACGTCAAACCGTGCTTGGGGGGTTTCAATCACATGAAATCGACCATCCCAGGCACCGGGTAGGCCCATCCATGCCAACGGTAATGCGGCGATTCTTCTGCATCGGAACAGTTTGAAGAGTGGGTGTCTCAATGGACAAGTAGCGATGTTTGTAATGAGCTTTCTTTTGCAATCAGCCAAACGCAGTAGGAAAAGCACATCATTTGAACCAAACCAAGATGGTCTTGATGTATCTTGGTAGAAACAGGTCACACCTTTTGGAATTATTTGGAATTCAAGAACACTTGAGGTCACCTTCTTTATTGTACTCGTCCTGCCTACTTGCGTCTGACAACCCAGGGCGGTGTAGTATTGCTGTTGTGTCATGATCCTGGTCGAACCAATTGTGTTGACTTTCAGGTCAAGTCCGCTGGGCTCCACACCAGCCAGACTCGATGATGTCCTCAGAAACACTGCGACAATGACTTTTGAGAAACGCCACAAGTGAGTCTTCTTCAGAAACGAACCAAGTGTGGTGTCTGCACGCTTTGTTGACGCAGAACCAACTGTGCCCGATGACATATGAAAGCAACAGAAACATACCAAAACCGCCTCTCCCATCTCACCTCAAGCGAGCAAACCGGCATCTTAGCTGTGGACGGCGAAGCCCAAACGCAGCTTGGTCAAGTCCAATAAGCCACGGCCCCACTTGTTGACCACCTGGGCAGCCACACGGCAAGAAACAGAACACGACCGAGGGACATTGTCAGGTAAGTGGAGGGACAAGACCGATCATGCAGGACCCAAGTCGTTAATCCCAACGATGTCCAACTACCGAACATATGTTTGCTTTTTTGCTGACTTCCAATGATCATCATAGCGACCAGGACTTCCAGCACCTAAAGAAACATACATGATGTTTGGTAAACTACCAGCAACATATGTTGCATGCGAGACCCAAACTCACTGCCCACTGGTCATTCTAAATGTATGGTGCCATTTCTGACTCTTCTACACACGCAAGAACGTTTTTTATGCATATGTTTGTTGATTTCGGCGACCAAATGGGGTCTGAGTCATAACAAACCGACCTCCAGCGTCATCGATCCACGTTCTGAGACACCTCCGACCTCCAGCAATTTACATATTTTGTTTGTCTCCAGATCCTTTTTGCCGCCCCGACCCCATGCTCTCCTGTGCTCCACACCAACTCATGCAAGCGCACATGGCTATCCTCCAGATCGAATCTTTGAGCGTGATGTGCGACACGACGTTTTCGGAACGGTTTGCTGGTCCATGAGCCCACGAGCGAAGCGATGAGCAGGGAAGGACTGGTGGTGTCTGTGAGAACTAGATTCGATGGCTTAGTCCATGAGAGGTTGCCTGGTGAGTGTGGTGCAAGTATAAATAATTATAGATTAGATAGGTCACCATGCATCAGCAAGGCTTTGTGGCGTAAATGAGATGTTTGACAACTCCACCATTTGTCACCATCCCAAACACTCCATGAGTAGAGCATGTTGTAATAGAGGTCTATGCAGCCTACATTCACGTCTTTTCAGAACTTCAATCACCTCTGTCGTATCTATATAGTATAGGTCACACAGGTATCTGAAGTGTCCAACATGAGTTATACGACCTATACCGATCCATCTTGTCTCCTTATCTCATCCCAAACCGAGCACCGCCGACAGCGCGGTGTAGGCGTTGTTTCTGTCATTGGACAGGTCCGGTCCGGTCACGGAGTCAACGATAAAGCGTTTCTTTCGGCGGTGGAAAGGGTCCAGGTGGCTTATGAAGTCGAAAGGAAATCAAACGACAGGATAGCAAAAGGTTTACTTGCATACAAATGCTGCAAACCACAGCAAACCAAAAACACTGTTGTGCAGTTGTGCCTTGCCCTCCTTAATCTCGTTGTTCAGCCATTCTTGACCCCACCCTCAAGCCCTTAAGAATTATTTGCCTTTTAAAACTCCTTGCATGCATTGTGTTGTCCAGTTTGTCTTTCTTCTCATTGGATTCGGTTGCTGCTTTGCTTTTGCTTTTTGTTTAAGCCTCCCATGTTCCTGCTGTCGAACGGCTAAACGTTTCACATCGATGCTTGGGGGCGCCGGCTTTAGCCGTTGCACTGCGGTAGCCGGGGGAGGTTGATTCATGGAACGTGAAAAACACCGAACATGGATGAACATAGGATCCAACTGCAGTGGTCGTTGTTTAAGGATCACAAAAGCAAGAAGCTCATAGGCACCAATGGACAGTATCAAATGAGTCAACGGCCTTGGACTTCAAGAACCAGATCCAATGAGATCCAAGGTGGGTGTCAACATCCAGCCATGAATGTTTTTGTTACTTTAATTTGTTGCTGGCAGGCCCAGCAGGCTCAGCAGGCCCCTTAGGTGAAAAAAAACAACCCCCACCTCATTTCAGTGGAACCCTGGCAATCCGCACCTTGGTGCCACAAAGCAGGGACAAGGACCTGCCGGACGCGTTGACTGCTGTCAGGCGATGCATCTCAGGACGTCGGCGACTCGGCGCGGCGTTGACGGCTTTTCTGTTGGAGATTGGCAAAGGAGCGAGAAAACACCCGAACACATCCCAATACATCCCAATCATGCTGAAACCATTTATCGCAATTTATATATAGAGAGATTCTTCATGATTCTTCACTGTTCACATCTGTTTGCTGCTTGGCGGACGAATTTACGGTGGCCAAAAGCTGTAAGTCTTGGATCACAGCATTCCCATCAGTTCCCATCATTCCCATCGATTCTTTTCATTCCCGAAAAGACCTGAAGAGCATGAAGCCCACCGGGCACTGCTCGAAGAGGATGCTGCAGTTGGCACAGTCACACTCGCCTGGAGCGGACACTGTTGTTCTGTCTGTCCATGCCGTCGGCATTAAGGCATTGATGGCCTTAAAGCAATGCAAAAGACTCCATGGAAGTGGCATGACACTGGTGCACTGGCCTATATGTCCATTCATCTCTCTGAAGAACCCCAACTGATCGGTAAAAATGTCCCATGGACTGTCATCCGGGAGGGGCAAGGGAACCGACAGCAAATTGCGCGACTGTGCAGTCGTTCTTTTTTTGTGTTCTTTATAGTCTTTCTGCGCATACCAAAAATCAGCACCAGAACATCCATCCATGAGCACTTACAGCGCAAACTCCCAACCACCTCAAAGAGAGATGTCCAAGTGACACCTGATGGACCCCCTACCCCTATAATTCTGATGGTTCAACATCTCAGGTGACTCAAATGGCAATATAAAGGGCACCAACATATACATACAAAATAAACGGCGAAGTGAAATGGTGAGTTTGTGAATGAAGGCGCTGGTCACAAAAACCACATGCTATGCACATATACTACAATAGAATTATTACACAATATATATATATATGTTATGATTCATGATGGTAACCGCGCAAAACACATCTAAGGCATAGTTTGCAATATCAAACCCAACATGCATCAATCAACGACACCCTGCTCTCCAGTCTGCTCCAGTCGACCCGTGCCCATGCGCCCAAAGAAGGCTGGGTGGACCGGGCAACCGGTGGCATTCCACCAGGCAGGGCAGATCGTCTCCAAGGACTTGGGGCCCTGGCGATCGGAGAAGCTGTGGACGCCAGGCCCCCAGACATGCTGTCGAACAGTCGAACAGTCTTTCGCGGTGGAATCATGGTGAGTTCTGTGGAGACATCGATCAATCAAACAAACAAAAACCATCAACACTTGACAGTGGAATGTTGGTGATGGTGACGGCGGCGCTCCTTATAACATTATATAGTTATATAAATCAAGCAACACATTGTAAGACACATATATAACACAAAGAGTGGGAGTGGGACTACATAGAAGACCTGTTGTTCCACCGCACAACTTATACTTGAGGCCAGAGGGGGTGAACGAAAGCTAGCTAGGGGGTGAACGAGAGTCTGGTCGTCAGGGATGGGCGCTGCTGCGCTGGGTGCTCTGCTGGCGCCGGGTCGTCTGCGGCTGCTGCTGCTGCTGCTGCTGGCGCTGGGTGGTCTGCTGCTGCTGCTGCTGCTGCTGTTCTGGGTCTGCTGCTTCTGCTGCTGCTGCTCCTTTGTGGTTTGCTGCAGCTGCTTGGTGGTAGACTGCAGATGCTTGGTGTGCTGCAGCTGCTTGGTGGTCCCGCTCACCGCGCGCAGGGGGGAGTCGAACCGCGGGGGGGGGGGTCCATAAGATTGATTTAATCAATTATTTGAGGTTTCTGAGGTGCGTCCACCCCGTCACTTAACTTGCTCAAGCAAGAGCAACTCCAGCTAGCTAAGGCTAGCTTTCGTGATGACTCGATTTACAAAATGGTTGTCAAACATTAGTACATCTTTGTGAGCATTCCAACTGCACAAAACTCCAAGCTCGGTCTAAATGGTCAACGTCCGTGCCCAAACGCACCAACAACGCCCAAAACGCAGAAAAAACACATCTGGGATTTGCTTCAGGAACCAGTAAAAACACTTTAAAAAAACAAAAAAAACATATTCACCAGAAGGGGATTTACATGGATTGATTTACCCATATAAGGGACAATACAAACATCGCCTTTTGAGCCAAAACCAGGACCGACCCACCTCTCGGGGCTTCCCAAAAAGGAAGGACACCCACCCAGACGTCGATCGCGGCTCGCCTCATAGGGACGGTCCACAAAGTCCCAAGCCTCGAGTGCAATGTGTGGTGGAGGACGTGCCAGGGCGGGTCACCCTGGCGGGTCCCACCCTCGAGGAATACTGAAACAAGGAAGATTTCACAGTGGGCACCCCCCATGTGTCGTTTGTGCAAGGCCAAGTTTGCCCATGTTTGTTGGAACTTGCTGGTTTTGCATCTGAATCAAACATGCATACAACATAGAAAAAAGAAGAACCGCGCACGTGTAGGCTCAAACATGTCTGACCAAACAGTTTGGATTTGAGTAATAGCTACTGGACACTCTACTGGACATACAAAACAATTCTTCAAACTTTGCTGCAGCCCAGCATGTTTGACGCAAACAGCTGAGCATTTGGAGGGTTCATAACAGCCAATTGGTTGAGCTAAAGTTTTGAAACCATCTAAATCATCTAATCAATCTCATTTTCACCTGGGAATCTCCCAGGCAGGTAAACCAAGGTATCCTAGCTTTGACCACCACAGCCATATCTCTCCTATATAAAAACAACTTTCTCAGACCGACACCGGTCTGAGGATCCTTTGCTTCACAGAAAGAACGCCCGCCCCACTTCTCGGTGCCTTCTGCTTCAAGGAGGGCCAGTCCACAAAGTCCTGCATCGGACTTTTTCCGGGTTCGGTGAGCCATCCAAACGAAAAACACATGGAATGTGCGTGGGGGTCATCTTCTTATTTTGCCGGGCCGAGCACGAGTTTCTTTGAGGATCTGGATTTTGGGGTTCTCGTTGAAAGATTCACGATTTCCAACCACGAAGAACAACCCCACTAGTCACTAGTCAGTCACTAGTACAAGCACAGGCCCCTGAAACCACCAGGACCAAGCTGTTTGAAACCACAAACACCAATGAAACCCTGGACAATTCCAGTCGCTTTCGAAGGAATCAGGGTTTCGATCGGTCCACAATTTTAGGCTTTGGAACCGCCTGTTCCCTATCGCGGCACATCCCATTGCCAGGGCCCAGTGGATGATGTTAGTTACCATAAACCTTTCCCCAAAATAGTGATAAGATGTAATATTCTTGGACATATCATGAATGTCTGGTCATGGGACACCCCATATTCCTTTTAGATCCAACACAATGACCGATCGGTCTCTTCTCCGTAGTTTATCACCGGCTTTCAAATCATGGACCATACTTGTTGGCAGCACCATTGATTCAAACCGATATAGATTCAATCATATGAAGCAATTGATATGCTTATATAATTAATATAGATCATCAGCCTCTCAATGATCTAGTTTCAAAAGCAATATCTTTCCAGATATCAAATAAAGGGCTTCCATTTCGCACTCACTTGGGAACTTTAAATACAAAAACACTCCTTTGGAATGCTGCCCCCCTGGTCGACCACCGCTGTGCCCTCCTCCGGCGCCACACCGGTGCCAAGCGAAGGTCGATAGCCTTGGGGGGGTTCTGCGCGGTTCTGCGCGTCACCGCTGTGAGTTGCCACAACAACGCCCAAAGATTTCATTTTTCTGGAATCTTAGCGGAATCTTTAGAAATACATTATACATATTTCTACATTGAACCCTGAAACCACCCCAATGTATAGGCTATAATTATATATGCCAGTCCCATGGAGTGTTACAAACAAATCATTGTCGACTGCTGATGATCAAACATGGTTTTGCATCTCAGTCTTGGGAAGGGTTGTTGACCAACTGTCAACCTACGTGATGTCCCTGAAAGAGGACACTCCGCATCTTTCAACCTCCCTGGCAGCGGACGTTCCACTTTGTATAGAGGTTCCCACTGAGAATCTCTTCTTGTATAGAGGTTCCAAAGTTGGTTGATTCCCGCACCTGTAGATTCTATGTCTATACCTTCCGTGATCTTGATGCCAATATAATATGCAATTCATGTGTTCCAAGCAAAAGAGACAACCGTCCAACGCTACTCCCCCGTCATCATCAACACTTGGCTTGCTGGGAGTCTTTAGAAATCGTCCATATACAGTATACCTGCAGGGAGTCTTACCTTGTCGGTTCAAAACCCACCGAGCGCACGATGGACACACAGGCCATCAGGACCAGCTGGGTCATCAGGCACGAGTTGGGAAAGTGTAAGTTCCTTGGTGGAGGTTTTTTGTGCATGGCATGCGGTCACGCGGTTGAACAATAGGTGTTATGAAGAGGCCGGCGCTGCGGTCCCTACAACACATCAAAACAGTGTTCAATATGCATTTGGAGGGGTCCCTCACTTGTCTACCAACTTTTGGGGGCACCAAGAAGAGATTCCAATCATCCATGGTCCAAGAGTCTACCCTATAATTATCCCACTGGCGGGATTCTGTGGCGATGCTACTATTTTGATCTAAATGGTTTTCATTTGTTTTCTAGTCCACTGCGGTTCAAGCCTTCATTCGTTCACAACCTTTCTGACCTCCGTGGAAAGGCCTAAGAAAAAGGTATAGTGATCGCCAAATGGATAGAAATGGTTCCTTTTTAGTGAGGATCTACTTTTCTATCTATTGGGGTCTATAATAGTAGGCAAATGAACAGCAATGTGAAGGTCCTTTTTGGGGCAGTTCAACAAAGACCTACCTGGAACCTCCAGGTCCAAGAATGCATCCAAAGGTAGGATTCAAACAAAAAGGATCAAACACATCTGCACCCCTGCAGCCTCGCAGCGTATCATCATCCACAAATTCCTAGTCCTAGAGAACTCAGTTTTTAACCAAACTTGTCCCAAATCCCCAACCCTCCAACTGACATAGGCGCTCATTGCTCCAGCTCCTGTGAAATATCTCCTTCCCAGCTCCTGTGAAATATCCTTTTCCCATGGCACCAGTCGATACCCATGGAATCAGATCCGCCCTATCGTCATATCGTCGGGTATCATGTTTCACGCGTCTTTAGAGTTCCTAACAAATCACCCATCCCGGCGGAGTTCGCCACATGAATGACATGATGTGTGTGACCGAACTCATCCCCCTCGCGACTCAGCTGAGCCTCGAGGGCTCTGCCACGTCGCTGGTGAGTGCCGCATGCCCGTCGAGGTCCCACATCGCGTCATCGGTGGAAGCGCACCGGCGGAAGCCCGTGCGGCGAAGGAGCGGTGGGTGTCGCTCCGTCGAAAGGGCGAGGCACCGGCGGGACCGGCGTGTTTGATCGTGGTGTTGTTGTTGTTGTCTAATTCCGCTTGACAGGGTGCGCAGAAAAGGCTTCAAAATAGATCTGGTATGAAGATGTCTGTATAGAGTAGTGACTTTCTCAAAGAAACATGGTTTCATCTCCGTTTCATTGTGTTCTCTCACTTAGGCTACAGGATTTGGAGCAGTGAAGGACACGCAAGCGTGTCCCAAATTGGGATGTTCAGTGTCTATATGAGAAAGACTGGGCAAACTGCATAGAAACCATCCCATCCATTTTTCGAAGTCGAGCCACAGTTGGAGTCGTGAAACTTGAAGAGAATTCATCTTCGAGTCCACACCTTGTGTCTGGGTTGCCTGAACGAACCCAGCCAACCTCTGAAGGACAAGTCGTCGTCATGTCATGAAGCTCATATATATATATAAATGATTTCAATAGATCTTAAAGGATGAGTGAATCATAAATAAGTGCTCAAAGCAAGACGGACATACCGTTCTTCTTGTATATCTTCAGTCGTTGATGGTCTAAATATCATGACTTTGGGGGGTTATAGGTTACCTTTCCAAACGACCAGCAACGAGCAGCAGTTCTTTTCACAACGACCAGTTCCGCTTCGGCGTCGTTGTTGGCGTCATCTCCAGTGACTGAGGAGGTCGCGTTGAGGCACTTTCCACCCGAGCAAAGGACACGATGACTTGGAGGTCGCCTGATTGGCTGAGCATCACTTTCATGACACCACTGATCTCCACCAGCTGTGCGCCCAACAACAAGGGCATTCGCCGAAACATGGCCACTTGATCCGGCAGCACTTGGTCATCTTCGCCAGCAGATTGGCTCTTGGCAAATCTTCGTGCATCTTCACATAACTTCTGAAACATGCGTGATGCAAAGCTTGAACCCAAGATGGCGTGTAGCTTCAAGCCAACTAGGCTACAGAAGGGCGCGGAGGCCGCGCAAACCACTTGCTCTTTCATATCAACATTGAAGAAGGAATCCTTTTTGGTGATCTCCAAACGCTTTTCCACGACTCCACTGCTCACTTGCTCTGTCACTGGAGTTTCCTCCTCGGATTCCGAGTGGATCAGTGGAAAGCTGACAGAATCCAGGCTCTTGTAACTGCAGTCCAATACAATCTCGTTCCCAACGGTCGGCTCTCCGGTCACCCCGGCGTCATGCCAGTCGGGACTGCCGGCGGGGTTCGGGTCGTCTGCCCGCGCCAAGGGCTTCAGGTCCGTGAATTCCCGGAGGCCCAGCAGATGATGTGGTGTTCCGTTCATGGTGGTATACCTCACCTGGGATACCGGTTCCCCTCCAGGGCCGATGGCTGGTGGCTACGGAAAGGAGATAGAAGATGTGCAGTGGTGACCAATTCCTACGGGGTCCACCGAGCCCAACCACGGCTTTAGCCGGCGCGATCGTGCCTTTAGAGGTCTGGCCGGGTCCCTTTGGTCGGGCGCAAAGGGGGAATCTGGTGATATCTGAAAAAAATCATCGACAGTGGACATCTTGTTTGGTTTACCATCCCAAAGTGTCAATGAGATTAAAACAACCAACACATGACATAGTAAAACAATACAGCTTTCGGGCATGGGACTTTGCCAATGAACTCTGGATCCAACCACCTGCTTACAAAATCGTCCCTCCATGTCCGGACATTCCGGGTCCCACTTCGTCCCACCTCCCACTTCGTCGACTTCAGTCCCGTCGCTTGAAAGATTTCAGTTCGGAACTTGCTGGAACAACTGTCGACCAAGTGAGTGTGGAAGGCATGTGCTGTGACGTCGTCACTCGGATGCTGAGACAAGACCTCTTCGGCCCTTGCTACATCAGGTGCAGCGATGAAGTCTGTCAGCTTCATTCCTGTGACACAGAAAGAATCGGGTCTAAAGCCTTAAGGAAGCATTTGTGGGTGTTTATGGATTTGGAACCATTGACAAATCAACAAAATGTATCAACATGTCCAAAAGTCTTGAAGGAACTCTTTCTGGGGAAAGAAAAAGCTGGGCAAAGGTGCCCTTGCCCATCCTTACGCTTTCTTGTCCTTTTGGGGAGTTTCGTGTGACTAGTTACAAGATAAGGATCCACCCACCGCTGGTTCCAGGCTCCCACAATGATGATGGACTAGCACCCACAGCAAAAAAAGCTTGAGGTGCAGTGCTTGATGAGGATTTGACTTGATGCAGAACTTTTGCCTTTTATGCATCTGCATTACTATTGTTCCTATTTTTCCTTTCTTGCATGTTTTGTACGCATTCCTACCTGTGACTTAGGCGTTCTTACCCGTACCCCCTCACTCAGTACAACCAGTGGCTTGACCGGGCAAAGGAATCGTAGCTGTTTCAGGGGGCGAATTCCATGTCAACAAATAGGTTGGCAGTTGTCAGAGTTTGTTTCCCAAAACCATCAAAAACACCTCATGTTGTTTCTGCCTCCTGTATGGTAAGACTGCATAATTGCTCAACTCAACATGGGTGTCTAGGTATGATGTTCATGGACTGAAGATGCTCAGTCAGGGCATGAATCATTGACATGTTCTATGTTCCACCATCCCAACGCCAGGCAGAGAACTGGTGGCTGTGGGACAGACATTGAGCAAGTCTCAGGCCATTGGTTGAGTCTTCAAACGGAGCACAATATGGAAAAAATGCATGGAATTGTTTGGCAAGTCGCCATGCTATTACAATTGCTGCAGGTTATTCTCTGCCTGAATATCAGAGGCTAGGAAGGTCTGACAGGGGCAAAGCCGATAAACATAGGCATGTTCAAGGGCTCACTTGCTGTGGTCGTCTTTCTTCGGATTTGAACCATTGGTGAAAACACCTCCTTTGAGTGCCCTAAGCAACCACCTCCGTCACCTCTGGGCGCCCAGGTGGGGTTGCCTTTGTTCAGCTCCGGCCTTGCATACTAGCACCCGGGCGATGTAGCAGCATCGTCGCCAGCTGAACGCTCTCCGAGACGAACTTCAGCTCCGAATCCAGCTCCACCACAGCGTCACAAGTGAGGCCCAAGAGGGAGGAAACAGCACCTGAGGCCGGGTCGTCACAGTGTGGAGTAGGCCACACCCCAGTTCCATCTAAAACTGCTGGGAGACTACGGAGCTGCTGGTGCCCTTCTGGGTGTCCAAGATCTTCCCAGGAACTCAAGCAAAAGGTTTTGCGATGTTTTGCATATACAAAACAATTGCACAAAACGGCTGTGGAGGTATTAAAAGTTGCTCTTTCCACCAACGGGCTTGACTGAGTGCCGAGATCTCTTGCGTGAATTTGCATCTCTGCATTCTGCTTCATGAAGGTAGTTGCTACATGTTGCACTATCAAAGCACAAGGCACCAGCAACACACCTCGGAATGTTTCACAGACTGGGCCAGCAAATGTCACATGAGATGTACATTCTGAAAAAAAGAAACTGACGGGGCCATCAATAAAAACACAGTTGTTGTTTGTGTTTTATTATTATGTTGTTTAAACCTGAAAAACCAACCAGTTCCTCAAGATCCTCAAGCAAATATGTAGTTCCAACCAAGATTCAGTCATTTCCTCGAACAATTCCTGGTGATCATGGAAATCCCATCACTTTGTCTCCCCAAAAAGAAAAACACATCCTGGTGTCCAAGGCACCCAATATCACCAGCGTGCGAGGGTTGGACCTGAACGGTTCTCGAAAACGGAAGCAAAGAACCCAGCAGAGATGTGCAGCGACGCATGGCACAAGCAAATGTTGTCGAGAAGTGTGATGTGTCTTGTTCAACTTTAGTTTGCGGACATGAGGGCAGCAGAAAAAAAACAAAAATGCTCTTTGGGGAAATTCAGTCGCCGACATGGAAGGTTTTTCACCGTGGAAGTCATCCGTCAGCGCACGTCCCACACAGAGCGCCAGAGTGGAGGATTGGCCAAGAACCACTGCTGAGGGGCTCTTTGCGCTGCATGTGACGGGAACTGACAACACCAAAAAGCTTGCGACGTTCAGCATCAGCAAATTGTCCTGAATTGCCAAATGTCAGTTTCACTGAACTCATGTCATTCACATCCGACATTAGTATCATCTACTGACGCCCTCTAACCCACCCCTTACAGGTTGGGTGTGACAAGACCTTGGACCTGCCATGGTTGACAAAAGTGCTTGACCTGGTGCGCAAGGGGCGCAAGCGTTGGTTGAAGGGGGCCTGAGAACCGCCCCAGGCTTGCTTCGACCGCAGTGAAGCTTCGGCATTGAATAAGTAAGTCCATATGGTCTTAACCAGAAAACAAAACAAAAACATGATTCATGATGTTCATTCCAGGATCCACTGCTGGGTTGCACCAGGGTCCCAGCCACAAGGTCAAAGCGAGTTGGTTGGCAAGATATGTGATGTCCAAGGTCCGCTGGTTGATCACAAACGGAAAAAATGACGGGAATGTAGGCTAAAGCAATGATGAGGCCGACCCCCCAAGTCGCATTCATCGTCATCCAACGTGGTTTGCCCGCCAAGATGTTGTACAAAATGCTGATATTGAAGCAGAAGGACACAAACGAAAAGTACCTGGTGGAAAGTACCAACACGACAGCATCATGGCCAAAAACTGAACACGTGGATGGTCTCCAAATGCAATTCCAAACGTTTCATCATCCTTTGTTCGTACTGTAGTATTCCCAACCGTTCCCAACAAAGGGGCACCAGAAGAAGCTCCGAAGCAAAAGGACCTTCTCCATGTAGATGCGATCCCGTAAGCATCGATCGGCACAAGGAGCGAATGGAGAGCGGATGGCATTGATGCGATGGAGAAGGTTCTTCCGCAGTGCTTTGCCTCAAAAACATTGCGTGAGTTCTCGAATGGAGCAACCACAACTGCAAGGGTCGGCATATGTCGGCATGCCCCAGAAGAAAAAAAACAACGATCATCACACGGTCAACCGGACCGGTGCGTGAAAAACCGGTCCAACGCCGGGCTTTCGGATCTGGGGGGGCTTGCGGACCTTGCCTCCCGCTTCATCCCAGTCACAGTGGGCCACTAAATGGCGAGCAACACCCATGAAGCCAACGGCAAGCAGGCCAAACGTTGAAATCACAAAGTATTGCTCGCTCCTCTTCATCTGAGCATGCTCAGCATGCTCAGCATGCTCAGCATTGTATTTGAGGCCAGGGGAGGTGAACGAGAGCTAGCCACTAATCTCATGAACCACCATGGGGTTTCTTCTCCAATGCCTATTTTGTAAATACACACCTGAAGCCCGGCTTCGTTCTTCGTCTTCACGACTCAAACCAGGGGACCCTGGGTCTGAACACCGTGCAAGGATCATATTTCTCTTTGAAAGGCCGAAACCCTTGAAGTTCAGTGACCTTTTGCGGGGGGTCAGGGGTCGGGTCGTGATATTCACAGAAGGAGCTGAAAAGCAGCCATGAGGAAAGGTGCCTAGATGAACTCCCCTGAGGAAAGGGGTGTCTTAATTAATGGCAGCATAGGCTTATGGACCTGATTGGACCCCCGGCCAAAGGAATCACCCAGGAGTCGCAGCCCAGGATCTCTGCAAGTTCCATCCACATCTGCAAGTGAACGACTTGCGCCAGCGCGGCGCGCCGTCCGTGGCAGTCGCAGGTTTGTCCCGATGGCGCGGATGCCAAGTCGTCGCGGGTCGTCGTGGGTCTTTGATGGTCTTTGTGTCCAGCTACTGAAAGAAGTGTCCATCGCGTTAAAAAACACATAAATCACCACCAGATTTGTCGGGCACACAAACACATCCGGGGAATGGGATCTTTTGAGGATTTGGGGAATTGATGGCAATTAAGCGGTTTAAGTCTAACGGCTGTTGGCAGGTGGCTGAAGGCACAAGTCAGGGCCAAAACCACTTACAAGTTCAATAGACCAAGGAAGTCTGAGGAACATACAGGAAGATTGCTATCTTCCATCTCCCGGCTTCCCGTGGACTGAGCCAAGGCCCGTGGATGGGTCTGAAGCGATTCATCTCCGGAATGGGAAGAACAACTCCAGAGGCATCACATCGAAGCGGATGATGTGGGCGGCACGGCCACCCTTCATTTCTAAAATACACATGTAACAGTAGTACTACAAAAAGAGACACATGAACGGCGCATGGAATTCAGATTGGCCGCCTCAGGTGAGGTGGAGCCTCTCACATTTCAGGTGCCACGTTCCATCGAAATCACTTCGTTGAGGAGACGAACGGGGAATTCCCGGACGACGGGGCACGACTCGGGACGAGACGAGAAGCACGAGAGCGCGGCGGGGATCTCCGACCTTCGGTGGATCGCTGGGAGCAATCGGTGGATCGCTGGGAACACCCCACAAGCCCAAGGCCTAGGGGCTTCCCTGAACCTCTTTGGAGGTCAACTTCTGTTCATCTTCGGTCAAGGGGTGGGGTCACTCTGTAGAATAGGGTCTTGGTCACGACGGGTCTCTCCCTCAAAAGGATTGGGAATCGGGACCATCAAATGACCTGTGTTTTTTTTTGCCTTTTTTTGTTCAAGTGGTTGCTCAGCTCCACCCTCTCAGGGCCTCAAACAGCCGTAGGAACTGTAGCCAGCCGGAGGGGGAACCCCCTTTTCAAAAAGCCAACAAGAACTGGCCGCCGGTAGTACGCCGAGACCGAGTACGCGGCGTACGCGCGGTGCCCAGACCGGCCAGGCGGTCGCGCGCGCAGACCGGCCCGGCGGGGCAGGGCGGCACCTTGATCATCTCCCGGGTCTTCCTGGGTGGACCCGATGCGCGGAGCAAACCAGCTCGGTGGACGTCGTGCTTTTCTTCTTCCAATCGCCGGGTCAAAGGTTAAGAGGGTGAAGTGAAACTGGTGAAGATTGGATGGTCAATGAGGCTGACCTATAAACTATATATAGTTTAAGTGAAAACATGATGGACGTTATTCAGTCGAGTCACAACTTAAGACACAAACTGAATCAAAATGATGCTAAGACTTATTCAACCTCATCAGGCAAGGCAAAGCAGTACACATTACAAGGCCTGCTTTTCAAACACCGCGGGGAACAAGGGGGGTCTCCACAGTCCAGTCGGCCAGTGACCAGGTCTGGTGACCGCCCATTTTGCACCACTTTTGAGGTCCCAAAGACCCACAGCCATCTGTTCCATGCGATCTGCCGGGCCTTAAAAAATCTCACTGAAGATGAAAGAATGCACTTAACCCCCGGCCCCACCCTCCTCACAATCCTGGAGCCTGACCATTTCAGTCTGAAATCCACCGACAGATCTCCCACTTGCAACTCCACACTCCACCCCGCCCTAGGCCTTACCCCATCCTACCCCAACCGAGCTACTAACCCACTGGACGCCCCGGACCTCAACCGCTGCTGTTGAGGGGCCCTGAGCCGGTGGGATGGTCCACCAAAAGCCGCTTCACCGGGCTCTTGGGATGCATCAAGAAGCTCACCGCCTGAGCCACTCGATCGCCGGGACGCTCTCGGAACCGGCGGAACCGGCGGGTTCCGGCTGGTGGGGTCAGAGAACGAGGGAAAAGTGCGGGTTGTAAGGGTAGATCCGGTAGCAAGCCAGTCAAGTCAGTCGTGAGGGTTCCTAAAAAAAGGCACCAGTCAAGTCAGTCGTAGTATGGGACCGGCTGCTTTCGGTTTTCGGTTGTGAAGTCACATGCCGATTCAAAGAGTCAGCTATGATCGAGGGATTTGGAGGTGTTGTTTTTGACAGGGAAATTCGACCGCAGGATTCGACGGGGAAAGGGTCGGGTACCAGTTGAGGGGTTGGAGGAACAAAGTTCGATGGTAGGGGTGGTAGCGCTTTAGAGTTGAGTACATAAGGTCGAAGGTCCCACACATCTGATTGAACCACCGCTCGCAACCCTGAATGATTCTGTTAGATTTGGAGCACTTAAGTCAAACCAAAGAGTTCATGGCAACGAGCGATCTGCCGTGCAAGTGTTCGCTGGTCCACAGGGCGTCCTTCGACCCGTGAGGGCATCGCTACTAGCTAAAAGCTACTAGTAGCAAAGGGCCTTACTAGTAGTTCCTCTCTCGTAACAAGGGCATTACTACTAGTAGCTAGAAGCTACTAGTAGCGATGCTCTTGTTACTAGTATAGCGATGCCCCAGTGCTATGAAGAAGCTGAGACGAACAAGCAACCCGCCGGCCCTGCGCCGGCAGTACTGGAATGATGTGGCTGCAGGTCAAAAGGTTGACTTTCCCAAATCTCTAATGGTCCATTAATTCATATTTGGTCTATATTCTGGTCATGTTCAGGGAACCCCTGGTTTTGACTCAAATCCATGTCGGATCAGCCTTTGATAGAGCTAGTCCCACTTGTCCTCTTTCTTCCACCCTAGCTTTTGGATCTCTGTGGATATATATAATCACAGCCGCCGGTCTTTTTCACGCGTTGCAGCCAGTTTGTCTGGAATCGAAAGAGTTCGATAGAACGCATGATTAAAACAATAACCTCTCGGGGCCCCGACACCCCACGACTTCCGCCAAACCAGGAAGAAGGGGGTGCCGCCCTGTGCCCCTCATGGCAGCAGCCGCCAAACCGGCGCTCCATGAGCCCGAACACCTGAGAGGGACCACCTTGATTTCACCCTTTTCAAGGTCAGTCTTTTGAGGATTTCATTTCACTCTTGAAACCTGCCGAAGCGACACAGAAAAAAGACAGTGTTTTCCGGGGCCTTCCACGTCCCCCTGGCCTGGGATCCTTCGGGATCCCAGGCTCAAGCATTGGGTGCTTGTGGTACAAGGAAAGGTAGGACCGCAATTGCGAATTTGGGACAGAGATTTCTGACAACTGGGCGAGCCCGTCGTTGAGGTATATACGAGCAGTTTTCGCGGCTCCCCACCGCCCCTGAATTAGGAGGCGGTCAAAACTACCGTGGTGCTGAAAGAAAAATGTGGCACCTCCCCTCCGGAGGGAGTATGGACGGTAGGCATACCAGGACGGCCTGACCAGCACATTGGTGACGCCGGTGTCAACACAGACGCCGGTGTCGCCAGAGACGCCGGTGTCAAGTCACCAGCTTCTCC